AAAAAGTAATCAAGAAAGAAAAGTGGACATATGAAAATGTAGTACAAACAGAAACAAAGATACAAAACAAAGTACAAAACAAACTATGTATCAAATTGATAATATAACCAAAAAGAAAATTCAACTCATGTAACTTCTGAACACAGTACCCAAACTGGAATCCTTTACTTTGTATACATTCTAAGGGGAGAAACAACTACAAAGAAATGTTGAATTTTACTTGGTAAGTTAACTGTTAATAGCAATACTGATGCAGCCTGAAATTATTTTATCTCCACCTTAACCAATTAATCATATTTAACATCACTAATAATGGAACTACTCATCGTTATGTGCCTCATGATGTTATAAACTTAGGTAATATTCTTGCCCAAATGTCTGACTTAAACTTAATCATGAGGAAAAAATCAGAATAAGTCAAACACAAACTGAAATAATTATGTATGGGAGCAGATAGAAATACATTCTGCAAGACAATTAGCTTAAAACATTCTACAAGGCAACTGGACTAGACTCTTCAAAAACATTAAGGTCATTAAAAGGGGGAGGTCTGTTCTAGATTAAAGGAGACTAAAGTAACATGATAACAAAATGCAATATGTAGGGGCTGGGGTTGTGGCTCAGCGGTAGAGTGCTCACCTAGCACGTTCAAGGCCCTGGGTTCGATAATCAGCACTGAATAAAAATAAAAAAAATAAAGATACTGTGACCAACTACAACTAAAAAATAAATATTTTTAAAAAATGTAATGAGATCCTTGATTGGTTCCTGAACCAAAAAAAACAAGAAAGAAAAAGTCACAATCACCACACCAAAAAAAAAAAAAAAAAAAAAAATCAAGAAATATTAGGGACAATTAGCTAAACTTTGAGAATGTAATGAGGGCTGGGATAGAGCTCAGTTGGTAGAGTGCTTGCCTTACATGCACAAGGCCTTGGGTTCAATCTCCAGTACCATCAAAAAAAAAAAAAAAAAAAAAAAGAATGTAATAAGTATTATGGTCACGTAGAACATCTTAGGAATATTGAGAATTTACAAGTATCATGATGTCTATGACTCAATTCCAAATAAGTAGCAGAAACAAACCACAACATACATAAGCACAAATGATACAGCAAATGCACTGAAGTAGCAAAAGATTAGCAACTGGTGTACTAACATGAAGGTATCTCAGGAGTTGATTCCATAAACTTCCCTGCAGGTTTGAAATTTTTCAAAATAAAATGTTAGGGAAAAATATTAAGATTCCTAAGTCCTACTATAGTCACTCTGCAGTGGTCTGAGAGATTGAGCTTTTCTCTCAGCATAAGAACTATTCGTGCTAATTTTGAGAAAATGATAAAAAGATTGGAGTTAACAAGACCTCAACCTTAATTCCAACAATTCTCCAATGTCACCCTGCAACACACTTGTTTAAAGTGGAATCAACCTGAAAAGTGTCTGCAAAGGAAGAGGGCCTCCAAAAGACAAGAAAGAAGAAGGTGCAAGGGGACCACAGCAGAAAACCTTGTCATCATTTATTTGATTGTTATTTTGTGTTCTCTGATCTGAGAATCAATTTGAACTCTCCAGTCAGTGATTAGGATGGGTCTTCCCAGCCAAGAGGGCCAGGGCTCAGGGATCTGCTCCAAGTGCATTCCAGACAATGGCTAAATGCCAATCAAAAACAAATCATTACCATTCCACATATAGACTTTTGTTTCTGTCCTTTTTATTTTTATTTTTTTATTTTTTTAAATCAGTCATGGCTGAAACTAAAAAGGAAAAGAAAGTGGGGAGCAGGGGTCTCATGAAAATCTAAGGGAGACCAGTAGAGTAAAGGAAGGAATAGAGAGACTGGAGAAACACTGGCCAATGCATGTATGAATATGTAACTGAATCCCACTATTATGTATAATTATGAACCAATAAATATGGGAAAAAAATAAATTGTCAGCCCTAGATGACTGAGTAAGAAGCAGCTTTGTATGGTCATGCCAGCAGGACCAACTCTGCCATAATTTACTCAGGCTACCAGATGCAGGATTCCAACTTTGAGAAAAAGGATGCATGAGGCAAATACAGCCAGGCTTGTGATGAAGGAAGCCTGAGCTTGGGAACTACTTTGCAAAGGCTCCAGCCAACCCTTGTTCTTAAAGCTCTCTGCTTTCATCCCTTTCAGAATTGATGGCTTCCAGAAAGTTCCCCTAATCCACAATAGGCACAATATATATTTTTTCATAATCCCCACAAAATTACTGAAGTTATTCAAAGTAAATTAGCTGTCCAGGAAAAGCACAATGACTGCTCAAAAAGCTGTACCAACTAAAACTCATGAGAGATTTCAATTTTTTAGCTTGTATTTGGAATTGAAAATTAAACATTGATCCACACTTTATTGTGTTTAAGTTTCCAAAATCAGAAAAATAAATTGTGTTAAATAAAGATGAGAGATTGAGGAGAAGGGTGAGGTTGGTTAAAAAAAGGAAAGATGTCTTTGCAGTATTTTGTCTACTACTTTCATCCCATAGGCTCTGTAGAACATAGCAGTAACCACTTTGAACAAGGTGAAAAAGTCACGTCAGAAGATTTAAAGATGGACAAGGAATAAATGTATGTAACACGTATTTAAAATATTGACTTACCATCTGTTCTTGAACATCCCTCTTTGCCTGGGAAAAGCCCTGCTGCAACTCTTCAAGTAAGATTTCTGATGCTTGGGCTCTTAGGACAAGTGCAGAGATCTTAAACAAAATGCATACATGAAAAATATACAGTTAGCAAATTAAATATTCTGAAATTAACAGTGCCATCTTCTGATTATTCTGGGTTCAGAATGAATATTTTACTGGTCCGTGGTGACCATCTCTTCTTTTAACAGACACATGCTCATGTGTTGTATATAAAGTACCAACCTTTCAGATAACCCAAGGTGCTGCCATGACCAAACAGCATTATATGGCTTTCTAGACAGATGTGAAACCAAGTGAACTAGTGACAGATAACAGTTTTTAAAAGACTAAAATTTTTTCATGGCATTTGCAGGTAAATGGATGGCATTGGGGAAGATAATGCTAAGTGAAGTTAGCCAATCCCAAAAAAACAAATGCTGAATGTTTTCTCTGATATAAGGAGTCTGATTCATAGTGGGGTACGGAGCGGGAGCATGGGAGGAATAGACAAACTCTAGATAAAGCAGAGGGGTGGGAGGGAAAGGGAAGGGGCAGGGGGTTAGCAAGGATGGTGAAATATGATGGACATCATTATACAAAGTACATGTATAAAGACATGAATTGGTGTCAACATACTTTATATACAACCAGAGATATGAAAAATTTTGCTATATATGTGTAATAAGAATTGTAAGGCATTCCATTGTCACTTATTTTTAAAAAATCAATAAAAAATAAAAATTTTTAAAAAGACAAAAAAAAGACTAAAATTCAAAAAAAAAATCAATAAAAAATTGGAGCTGTCTCCACACACAAAAGGTATACATTTCAAAGAAAAAAAATTAATCTTTTCTGAACTAGCTACAATCTTCTAAGATGGAATACTGAAGGGCAATACCTACACAATTAACATCACTGAATTAACACCTTTGAATTAGTTTTAATGTTCTTAGGGACTTTGATGACTTAAAAATATAATATAAATGGAAATAATCTGTCTACATGTTTTTAAAATGATTACTGTCTGAATTCTTATAGTGGCAGATTTTGGAATATGAACTAACTAACCTACCTGAGAATCAGAAAAACTGTATGAAATTATAAATTATATTACTTGAAGACACTGGAAAACTAACAAAGAAAAAAAAATCTCAGAGCTAAGGACCAGGCTGAGGACATGTGGAGAGTATAGTATCTGAAATAGTTCTCTAGAAGCATGTACCTACTTCAGAAGAAACAGACATGATACTCAGAAGCTGAGCAGGATGTTTAAAAACCCCAGGATAGGGTAGCAAAAGTGAAGAGCCCAGGACATAATTAAGCAAAGGGACTCCCGGGATAAACATCCCACACTTGGTTTGGGTTCCCAGAGGCCCACATCCTAGGGAAAGGGAACAATTTTAAATAATCTAACCTTCATAACTATATATAAGCCAGGCACAGTGATGCATGCCTGTAATCTCAGTGGTTTGGGAGGCTGAGGCAGGAGGATTGCAAGTTCAAAGTCAGTCTCAGCAACTTAGCAAGGCCCTAAGCAACTCAGCAAAACCTTGTCTCAAAGTTTAAAAAAAAAAAAGAAAAAAAAAACTATATATAATCCCAATTCCTGTAACTAGATTAAAGTGATTCAGCACTTTGAATACCACGAGGCCTCCCTCTCATAAGGAAAATGACATCATCGTAGGCTTTATTATTATTTCAGTAACTTTTCAACATACAATATGCAACACTCAAATGTAACTACAGAAGAAATATACTTAAAAACAGACAAAAGAAACAGGTCTACAATACCAGATATGTAAATTATTAGAAACTTATTTAAAGATTGAAAAGACAAAATTTGGAACTGCCAGAGAACTAATGAAGAGTAACCAAATGGAAAATAATACATTGAAAAAAATAAATAACTCAAATGATAAATTTAAAGGATGGGTTTACAGAAAAGACCCATTTGAAGAAAAAATTAGTGCACTAAAAACAATACATTTGAAAAAAACAAAGGTAATACAATGGAAAATATAGAAGTTAAAAGGTGCATGGATGAAATGAGAAAGTCTAATATGTATATAAACATTTAAAGAAATAACAGCTAATGGAAATATCTAGTAGAGCTGAAAAATAAGCCTATGCAATAACCTTGTAATTTTACTCCTAAATTCTGGATGTATTCAACAGAAACGAGCCCACATGTGTACCAAAAAACATGTACAAGAATATTCATAGAAAACTTGACACCAAAAATCAGAAAAAACCCAAAGTCCCTCAGTTTTATCAATATAAGAGAATATTCAAAGTATTAAAAATAACTGCTAACACAGAGAATATGGATGAAGATACATGATTAAGAGCAAAGAAACAAGATACTAAAGGCTATACACTATACAATTCCAATTATATGAAGTTCAAGAACAAGAAATAACTGAAACAGTGTCAAAATTCATAACAATGGCCAACTCTATATGCAGGTAGGTGGAGTATTTACTGACCAAGAAAGGGCATGAGGTGTATGAGAAATGATCTGAATCTTGATCTAGATGATGATCCTGGTAATATCTTTCACATGTTGAAATTCATCAAACTATACACTTGAGATTTGTGAACTTCACTTTGTATACTGTTCAACGAAAAATGAGCTCTTAAGGAGAGATAATGGCTGGAAATTTTCCAGTTATGATATAAGACATCAACTTGGAGATCCAAGAAACACTGTGAAACCCAAACAGGAAAAATATACCCAGGTGTAGCTAAGTAAAACAATGAAAAACAAGACAAAATGAACATCTTTAAAATAGCTAGAAAAAATATGCATTTAGCTTTAAAGAAGCCAAAATAAGACCAATAGCTGGCTTTTCACCAGAAACATGGAAGCCAGAAGCAATGGAATAATAATCTCAAAGTGCTTAAGAAAATAGTATAAGTAATTAGAATTCTAACACTGGCAAAAGTGTCCATCTTGTAAGAAAGTAGAAAGAAAAAGTTACCTCTGAGAAACTAAATGAGAGAGAATCAAGACTTCTGGTGCTGTCGAGATGGACTCTGCCATTAAGACTTTTCTTTCACTGATTACAACTAAAAACTATGGATAAAAATATAAAAAGTCATTACTGAGGACCATGAAAAAGAGGCAAAAGTAGAAAGATCAAGAAGAAAAAAAAAATCAAAACCAGAAAAAGCAATTTATACAGAAAACAGTTTCCTGTTTACTTGCTCTTTTTACCCTACTTTCTCACTGCATCAATCTGAATGCAGTCCTAGCTGTGAACTGCAGCAGGATAGGAGATAATACTTTCTGGCCACGATGCCAAGAACAGGCTCTCTGTGAGCCACACAGCATGGGGATAATCTTAGAGAGATGAGAGCTAAAAAAAGGATCCTCAAATTATGAATATGAACCAGCAATGGTCCTATACTCACCTGTGAGTTGGCACAGAAGACCAGACCCAAAGCAGCATAACAAAGACTTTGGAAAACTGAACACGCATTAGAGAAACTACCAATTCAAACAAATTAAAAGAGAACTTGAAATTAAAACTAACTGATATTTCACCTCACTCCAACCAGATGGCAATTATCAAGAATATAAGTAAAAATAAATGTTGGCAAGAATGTCAGGGGAAAAGTACACTCATACAATGCTGATGGAACTGCAAATTGGTGCAACCACCCTGGAAAGCAGTATGGAGATTCCTCAGAAAGCTTGGAATGAAACCACCATTTGATCCAATTATCCCACTCCTTGGCATACACCCAAAGGACTTAAAATATGCATACCACAGTGACACAGGCACATCAATGTTTATAGCAACTAAATTCACGGCAGCTAAGCTATGGAACCAACTTAGTTGCCCTTCAACAAATGAGTGGATAAAGAAAATGTAATATATATACACAATGGAAGATTACTCCGCCATAAAGAAGAATGAAATCATGGCATTTGCCAGTAAACAGATGGAACTGGAGACTATCATTCTAAGAAAAGTAAGCCAATCCCCCCAAAACCAAAGGCCAAATGTTCTCTCTGATATGTGAATGCTAACTCACAGTAAGGGAGTGGGGAGTAGAAGTTCACTGGAATAGAAAAAGGTGAATGAACGGGAAGGAAGGGAAGATGGGAATAGGAGAGACAGTAAAATGAACTGGACATAATTTTCCTATGTTCATATACAAATACACAACCAATGTAACTCATATGATGTACAATGACAAAAATGGTAAGTTATACTTCATATATGTATGTCAATATATTCTACTATCAAGTATAACTAAAAAGAACAAATAAAAAATTAAAATAAATAAGTAAAAGAGAGAACTTGGGCACTGAATCCAATCATGTTGACTACCTCCTATAACAAAACAATACAAAACCATCAACATTATCCAAAGGATTTTAACAGAACCCAGAGTCTCATAATAAAATATTCCTAATTCCCAAGACACTATAAATAAATTTGACACAGAAAGAACAAGAAAAATGTGACCAATGCTCAAGAGGAAAGAAAATCAACAGATGCCAAACCATAATGATCCAAGTTAGATTATCAAAGGTATTGAAGTGGCTATTATAACTAAGCTTCATGAGGTAAAGGTAAATGCTTTGAAATGAATGAAAAGATAGCTCTCTAAAAAAAAAAAAGAACTAAATAAAATTTTATTATAAATCAGTATAGAATTTGGCACAAAAACAGACCAATGGAACAAAGTCGTGAAATTAACCCACACATATATACACTTGATAAATGATAAAGATGACCTTGCAGGGCAATGGGGAAAAGATGATATTTTCACAACACAGTACACAAACTGACTACCTAAATTATTTTTTATTTTTGTTTATTTACCTGTACCTATGGAGATTGAACCCATCTTTATACAAGATACTAAGTACATACTACATCCCAGTTCCTTTGGCTATATATGTGAAAAAATAAAATTTTACCCTTACCTACATCAAATAGATAGTGGCATGTATGTATAAACCAATTCCATATAAATTTTTTATATAAACATAAACAACTTCATTCAATGCAACTTCTATTAAGCTAAAATATGAAAATATCTTCATAATTACAGTATAAGAGAAGATTATTTTAAAAATCAGGACAGGGCTAGGGTTTTGGCTCAGTGGTAGAGCACTTGCCTAGCATGTGTGAGGCACTGGGTTCAATACTCAATACCACAATATAAATAAATAAATTAGATAAAGGTCCATCAACAACTTAAGGACAAAAATCAATAACCATAAAGATCAATAAATCTGAGTATATTAAAATGAAGAACTTCTACACATCAGAGTACTATTTAAGACATAAGCTACTGAGTAGAAAATGTATGCAGCACATATAATCAAAAGGCTCTGATGAGATCATATAACAAGCACCAAGCAAATCAAGAACCAACAAAAAAGATGAAAAAAGAGCATAGGACTTGAGCAGGATTCCCTCCCTCCCCCCCCCCCCCGTAAGTGTATATGCACACACACAATATCCAACAGCCAATAAATGTAAAAAATGCTAAATAATTTCAGTGGTCATCAAAGAAATGCAAACTAAGCCACAATGAAATATCATCCATTACACATCCACCAAAATGACTATAATTAAAGTAATAAGATAAAGTTTTTCAAGACCTTGGGTTCTCATACATCACTGGTGGGAGTATAAACTGGTATAACCACTTTGGAAAACAGACAGGTATTTTTATCTACTAAAGGTGAATATACATATTTTGACCTTTTTTATTTGCAGTACTAGAAACTAAGCCCAGAGATACTCTATCACTGAGCTATACTCCCAGCTTTTTTTTTTTTTTTCCCTCTTCTCTCTCCTTTTTGAGACAAGGTTTGGCTAAATTGCCAAGGCTGGCCTTGAACTTTTAATCCTCCTTCCTCCTGAGTAGCTGGAATCACCAGCATCCACCACTGTGTCTGGCTATTTTGAGCATTTTTAACCAGATATTCTTTCTCCTAGATATAGACCTAAAAGAAACATGTTCACCAAACCCTATACAGAAATTTCAAAGTAACATTATTCATGATATCCCAGAACTGGAAACAACTAAAATGTCCATCAACATTAGTACAGATAAACTATGGTATATCCACTCAATATTACAACCACATGACATTGAAAATCCACCAGGCACAGTGGCATATACTTATAATCCTAGCAGCTCAGGAGGCTGAGACATGAGGATCATGAGTTCAAAGCCAGCCTCAGCAACTTAGTGAGGCCCTAAGCAATTCAGCGAGACCCTGTCTCTAAACAATAAAATATTTTTTAAAAAGGGCTGGGGGTGTGGCTCAGTGGTTAAGTGCCCCCGAGTTTAATCCCCGGTATCAAAAAATAAAATAACCACTACATGCATCAAGGCAGTACTTTCATATCCTGCCAAGTGAAGGAAGACAAATGCAAAAGAATACCTACTATGTCTCTTTTTAAAAATCAGAAAATGAACAAAACTAATGGTGTTAGGACAACAGTTACTTCTGTGTAGGAGGCTGTAAGTGATGGGGCTTAAGTGAAGGCTTCTGGGATACTGGCTAATGTTCAACTTGATCAAAGGGATGGTTACAAAGATGTTATCTGTTGATATAGTTATTGGATTATTTATACGGATGTTTTATCTAAAAATCCTAATAATAAAAAGCTGGGCACAGTGCTGCACACTTTTAATTCCATCTATTCTAAGGTGGAAGCAGGAGGATCAAATGTTTGAGGTCAGCCTTGGCAAACTAGTGAGACCTTGTCTCTAAATCTGGCAAAAAAAAAAAAAAAAAAAAAAGTAACTTGAGAATATAAAAAAAAATGATATCCTTACCCAGGCAAGAAAAAAAAAAAAAAAAAAAGCAGAGGGCTGGGGATGTAGCTCAGTAGTAGAGAACCCCTGGATTCAATCCCCAGCATAAACACATAATAACTAACAAAGGGGAGAAGGAGAATCAGAGCCCCCTGATGTTAACTGATTATTAAGGGCAAAAGAAACATAACTAGCTGGGCACAGAAACATAACTAGCTGGCACACACCTTAATCCCAGCAGCTTGTGAGGCTGAGGCAAGAGGATTACAAGTTCAAAACTAGCCTCAGCAGCTTAATGATGCTAAGCAACTCATCGAGACCCTGTCTCTAAATAAAATACACAATAAGGCCGGGGATGTGGCTCAGTGGTCAAGTGCCCCTGAGTTCAATCCCTGGTACCAAAAGAAAAAAAAAAAGAAACATGACTATATTTTTACCCTGTCATTCCTATGGGTTACAATCTAAAACCCCATTTACCTGATGGCTTGAATCCTCAGTGCTCTGCTTAATGAAGTCTTCCAGCTCCTGTTTATCTTTCATTGTCTTCTCCAGCTGGTCATTAGCTTGCCTTAGCATCACCTGCAGTTTTTTCACCTGTGTAATTAAAAACGTCAATTAAAAGGGAAAACTAGGTTTTTTTTCTTTTTGGTGAAAAGGATCAAATGGAGGGCCTCGCACTTATTGGCAAGTGCTTTACTACTAAGCTAAATCACAAGTCCAGAATTATTTAGTGAATTAAAAAACAAAAAAAGGCAAAAACTATTTTTCAATCTATTTTTTCCTGAAAAACACCATAAGATTTGTCATTCTGAAGTAAATGAGATGAATGACCTCAAGTGACAACTGTGTTGTGCTTTACAGTTAACAAGTCATTTTTTCACATACATCTCACTTGAAAATTGCCTTTCTTCTGGACACTCTCAGCCCTAACAATGGACTACCTAGTTCTCCTCTATTCTCTGCCTCTGATCTATAATCCACACAAACACTATAAATTTTACAAAACTGAAATACAATAATTTCTCTACTTAAAAGCACATGAATGCCTCCCAAAAGCCTTCTGATCAATTTAAACCCCTCCCATCACTGGCCCTTAGTGATCTCATTCTGGCCTAGGGTTCCTTTAAACACCACAGAACCACTCAGACACTTCCTAGAACACACACTTTTCTTTCGTAACTCTTTCCTCTAGACCTCTTTCTTCTCCCTGAACTCCCTATCTCTCCTTCACCACTTCTTTTTTTTTTAAATTAATTAATTAATTTATTTTTAGGTGTAGATGGACACAACACAATGCCTTTATTTTTATGTGGTGCTGAGAATTGAACCCGGGTCCCGCTCATGCTAGGCAAGTGCTCTACTGCTGAGCCACAATCCCAGCCCCTCCTTCTTTTCCCAACTAATTTTTACCCAGGCTCTACAAAAACTTAGTTCAAATGTTGCCTTTCCTGAACCCATGGTTAAGGTGGATGCCCTCCTTAATTTCTATGTGTACCTCTCCAGGAACAAACTATATTGAACTACTGTTTCGGTTCGCAACACTAAAAAACACTAAAAGCTTCACGGGGGTTGAAATTTTCTTCTAGCTGCATCTGAATCACCAGGACCCAGCATAATGCCAGGTGTAGATGAGGCATCAGTGAATGTTTATGGAAATGGCTAAGGAACCCAAGATAGCCCATTACCATGCTACACTACCAAAGACAAACTATATTAGTTTTGCAAATACCTTTAGAAATTTACCTTTGAACTATTTAAGAAAAAAAGCATATATGGAAGAACTCAATGCCAACAACATTGGAAATATATGTATATTTTTGTTTGTTTGTTTGTTTGTTTGGTACTGAGAATTGAACCACGGGCACTCTACCATTGAGCAACATCCCCATCCCCTTTTTGTTTTTGATTTTGAGACAGGGTCTCACTAAATTGCTGTGGTTAGCTTTGAACTTGTGATCCTCCTGCCTCAGCCTCCAAAGCTACTGGGATTGCAGGTATGCACCACTGCGCCCAGCTGACATTTGAAAATATTAAACCACCATTCTAATTTGCTTGAAGTTCTTTTTATTTTCAGTTGTTGATGGAAATTTATTTTATTCATTTATTTATATGTAGTACTGAGAACCGAACTCAGTGTCTCACATATAGTAGGCAATTGTTTTACCAGTGAGCCACAACCCCAGCCCTGCTTAAAGTTCTTTTGAAGACTAAGAGAATAGTGTTCAAAACAACCAAAGGTCAGTTAAGAAATAGAAGAAAAATAATCTTTTCCTTACATATGCTTTCAACAAATCTACTCTCATGAAATTCTACATTATTTCCTAAATTGTATCAAGGTACTCATCATTCAACACTGTGTTTGGACAAGTACTTAACTGTCAATTTCAGCATTCCAAATTTACCAAACTTAATCTCTGTGACCCTGTAAATTAATCTTAATCAATTCAACAAATTTATGCCAAGAAGTAGACAATAAGCAATGAAGATTCCAAATTCTGATTAATCACATTCAATTAAGCTTTTGTTCTACAGAGGCCATGTTCAACCTCTTCTGTCCCTAGTCTTCATATCATGAAGTTTTCCAGATCAATGCCAATATCAAGTGTAGACAGTGGGTGGAAAGGGTAAGGTGGGAGAGGAGTGAGGGTGCTCCTCTAAGAGCTGAGGTGATCCAAATAGTATTGGTACATTAATAAAACACAGGTAACACCAAGGGACTCCTGCTGGAAATTTAACTGCCACTGTATGTGCCAGATTATTTCATAATTTAACAAGACAGATATGCTTCATTAAAGCAAATGGGGGGTAATTCTGTACCTCCAATGAAGACTACAACAGCTCCAATTTGGCATATCCAAATGAAACTCACCTGGTCTCTTGTTTCAGCCTCCTGAATTTGAATTCCTTGTAACTGTTTTTCATAATTGGAACACATATCACAACGTCTACCAAGTTTATTTCCAGCATTATGTACCTGAAGGGCACCAAAATTACTTTTTATCAAGCAGAACAAAATAATTCTTCATCACATACTTGAGGAATACATGCATAGTATTCTACTGATGTTACTCAAAGTATAGTACAGAATAAACAATTTCTCCATGGACTTTCAGAAAGAGTTTCAATTCAGGGTCACACTTTTTTTTTTTTTGGTGATACTGGGGATTGAACTCAGGGCACTATGCATAGGAGATAGGAGTCAAGCACTCTACCAACTAAGCTATAATTCTAAAAAGTCATAATCTCCAGTACAAGTATAAGAGGAAAAGGAGGGAAACAACACATCAACAAGAGGCTGAGGGCCACAAAACACCATATTTGAGGAAAACACAAAGCAAGCAGACAATGCTACACCGCGGCACTCATAATTTAAATCAATAAAACTGGACCAATGAAAAAGGCAGAAAACACAAACAGTGCCAATTCCCCATTTCACCAGCTCCACTTATGAAATAGGTGTGAAACTATTAACTAGCACCTTCTCACATACGTTTTGCATGAGGCCAAGAATAGTTTCAGGCTTAACAGGCTGTTCCACTTACTTATCAAGCACTTCTTTAAAGAGAAGTAGCCCTGAGCAAAGGAAAGCCCCGGAATTCAGAAAACCAGGATTCTAACCCAGGTTTTGCTACTAGGTCAAGGGGAACACTTAAGCAATGCTTGATCTCTCAGAGCCAATTTCCTCATCTGGAAATTGGGGACAATCATGCCCTGATTGCCTCATTCTGATAAGAAAATTCAAAGAGATGAGGTAAGTAAAAGGGCTTTGTAATCTGTAACGCATTATGCCAATACATATTTAAGTTTCTATCTTCTAATTTTTCTGAGTTTGCAAATACCCTGAGGAGGAAAATTAAAGTTTATTAAAGTCTGACTTCTTATTAGTTTGCTTCCTTTTTTCTCCCATATTTTCTACCTACTCCTTAAACCACTACTCTGCATCAATCAATGATAAGCATTTGCATTTCAGTCCTAAAGGAAAGACAAACTGAATCCTGAAATACACTCATATTTAAGAAAGCTTCAAAACAAATTCAGCTATTCTAACTTAGTAATGTTAGGAAGGTTGTCCCAGCTTCTGAAGTATGACCTCAGGGGGAGAAATTCACAATCAACACCAATAGCTGGTTAGCACCCTTCTCTCTCACAGGCAGCAGGAAGAACCAAAGCAGACTATGACAGGTACCAGATAATCTGGATTAACACCTACTTGCTGGAAACACAAGCCTGCATTGACTCCAGGGACTATCTACTCAATGACCAATAAATCCCAGAGTTACAGTAATGCCCCTCAGACTGAACAAGAGGAACAGATCATGAATAACTCACCTCTTTCTGCAGGAGATTCCACTCAGTCTCACTGACTAAGCGGTAACCACTGGGGGACACGTAAGCACTCTCCATTCCCTGGGTAACACTGGAGAGAAGGGATGCAGTCTCTTCCTGTTCTGGTGTCATAGCCTTGATTGCTCTTTCCTGATCTTTGGTTAACATAAACCCACTTGGCATCTGCAGTGACCCAAGGGATGCAGTATCAAAGTTCTCAGATACTGAATCTGCTCCTACCAGTGGTCCAAAATCCGACTCATCCAGGTTTCCAGCAGATTTTGCTTTGTAATTATAGCCTAAAGCTTTGGATTGCAATGAGCCCGAGGTTCCCAAGCTATCTGTAGACTGTGCTCTCCTGAGTCCATCTTTAAACATGTCATTGTCCGATTTACTAAATGGATCTCCAGATGGTAACAGCAAGTCTGCATCTAAGGAATGAACTGAACCATGGGTGCTGTCTAAGTGCTCCTGAAATGTGAAAAGAGATATTGCCAAATTAGACAATGTTCTGTATCTTCAAAATATATCATACATTAGGCATATTTTACCACATTACATGTGACAATCATTAACACAACCTTCATTTAATCATTATTCAGTATCTAAATATGTTGGGCACTAAGCAGGTGCATAAGCTAGACACAGTGGCACATGCCCATATTCCAATGACTTAGGAGGTTAAGGCAGGAGGATCACAAGTTCAAGCCCAGACTCAGCAACTTAGCAAGACTAATCAAATCAGCATAATCCTGTCTCAAAATAAAAAATAAAAAGGGCCAGGGATATAGTTCAGTAGTTAAGCACCCCTGGGAGACCGAGGCAAGAGGATTTCAAATTCAAAGCCAGCCTCAGCAACTTAGCGAGGCCCTAAGCAACTTAGCAAGACCCAGTCACACAACAAATAATAAAAAAGAGCCGGGGATGTGGCTCAGTGGTAAAGCACCTTTGGGTTCAATTCCCAGCACAAAAATTAATTAATTAATTAATTAGGAAAATATTTCCACTTGGTATAGTAAAAAATTGGCATCTTTTATGTTAATTCCTCCGTTTCTTTATTTTCAAAGATTTTTACTTTTCTGAAACAGATGTCTGAAAACACAAACCTAGGCTATATGAAGGTAATGATGGTGAAAGTCCCAAATAAGTAACCTAATAAAAACTAGAATAAGAACCAATTCTGGTAGCTTACAAAAATTTTTTTCTTCAGCCAGGCATGGTGGTGCATAGCTATAATCCTAGCTACTCACGAGGCTGAGGCAAGAGGATCACAAATTCAAGGCCAGCCTAAGTAATTTAGTGAAATCCTTTCTCAAAATAAAATTTTAAAAGGGACAGGAATATAGCTCAGTGGTAAAGCACTTGCCTAGCATGTGTGAGGCCCTGTGTTCAAGCACCAGTATGGAGGGGGGAAAACACACTATGAAAATAATCAGATATATCCATACTGAATTTTGCCTAAGGAAAAATTATATATAATAGCATTACTTAATGAAAACTTCATGGTAGTAAAAAAACAGAACCAACCTGATGATTAATTATCACATTTTTTATTTCCTATATTTCATGATGTTTTAGTGTCTTAGAGGCCCTGATGGCTAGAGAGAGACTGTGCCTCCCAGAGTCAGCTAATGCCTAAAGATAATAAACAATTCACTTGACTATAACATACCTTTCATAAGTAAACCAGTCAATCCCAAAACCATACTCTAACCACCTCTTTTATCTGATTCCCATACCAAGCCACTACTTTCCCTGCCCTAAATCATCTCAGGAACAGATAGGAACCAAATGAAAGAGACCCCATAAACTACAAAGTCCATGGGAATCATTCAAATTAGCCAGTCCTGTACTGTTTGCCCTGCTCTGCTTAAGGAAACCCCAATGACTGTGGTCCATGCTTTCCCTTTGCTCCTTCTGCCTCCAGACCAGCTCTGGTGTTTCCCAATGAGGTCCTACAAGTCATGCTGCACCTCTCATTTCTAGGGGAATTTTGAGCTCAATGAAGGAATTCTTACCCAGCATGCAAGAACCCTGGGTTCAATTCAAAATTTTTGGAGGGGGGAGGGACTAAAATTAAACAACTTCTAATGACATTGGCCTCTCCATGTTAACACCTAGTCACCTTTATAAATTAAAACCTGGGCACAAATTAGTTGGAAACTGACTAACAGAATTTTGGTATATTTACATTGCTGAAATTCTATCAACCATCAAATGTCATTTTTTGGGAAAACAATGATGTGTCAAAACCTTAAAGTACATTTAAGTGGGAGGAAAATGTATCTAAACTATTATGTAGTTGCAATATAAAATATGTTTTAAAAATACAAATAGAAACTTTTATGTTATCTTTGAAAAAGAAAATAGAGGGAAAGAAGAGACACACATCAAAAATGTTAGAGGTAAGTTTATCTCTGGGTAACAGGATTTTCATGACCTTTTCTTGTACTTTCCAAATTTTCCATAGTATTTCCATATTATTTTTGTATTGAGAAAAGCATATTATAAGCATCAGGTTAAAGAATATGTATGGTCCTATAAATTTCAAATGTCTTTAGCAATAAATCTATGTCTCCACAGCATTACATATTAATTTTAAACTACTGACTAAAGTAAAATCGTCATGACTTTTTTTTTTTTAGAGAGAGAGAGAGAGAGAGAACTTTTAATATTTACTTTATTTTTTATTGTTTTTTTTTCGGCGGACACAACATCTTTCTTTGTATGTGGTGCTAAGGATCAAACCCGGGCCGCATGCATATGCCAGGCAAGTGTGCTACCGCTTGAGCCACATCCTCAGCCCTCGTCATGACTTTTTTTTTTTTTTAAAGAGAGAGAGAGAATTTTTAATATTTATTTTTTTTTAGTTTTTGGCGGACACAACATCTTTGTTGGTATGTGGTGCTGAGGATCGAACCCGGGCCGCACGCATGCCAGGCGAGCGCGCTACCGTTTGAGCCACATCCCCAGCCCCTCGTCATGACTTTTAACACAAAAAAGTATACTCAAAATTCAAACTCATCTGAAAATCTAAAAGGTATTTCAAATGTTAGAAAGTATATATACAATGTCATACAGATTTGTTAAGACATAAGCAAAAATAAGAAAAAATCATAGCAAATTTCCCTTTCCTGTTTTCCTGATTTTCAAACATTCCTGGATAGATAACTACATGATGCAAAAACCACATAATATTTGGCTGTATCCCAAAATTGAGAAATTCTCCTGGAGTTAACTATTAAGAAACACACAGCACAATACCACCAAGTAGTTCTCAGTGTATGTTCCAAAATGAAGAATGTGCAAAAACAATTACATTGTAATTTTCAGTGTCTATGAGGATATTTTTAAAAGTCTTAACATTAAACTATCCATAAACATGAAAATATAAGCCACCAAGATGTAGATCATACATGAATCAGAATAAATCCTTAAACTACAGAGAAATGTGATGCCTCTCAAAGAAAAAAATATTTCACCCACCACCCCCCTTTTTTTTTTTTTTTATTAGGGATTGAACCCAGGGACACTTAAACCTCTGAGTCACATCCCAAGCCCTTTTTATTTTTTATTTTAAGACAGGATCTTGTTAAGTTGCTCAGGGCCTTGCTAAGTTGCTGAGGCTGGGCTTTGAATTTGTGATCATCTTGCCTCTGCCTCCCAAGCTGCTGGGATTACAGGTATCTGCCACTGTGTCCAGCCCTTTATCCCAATTTAACTAATGCTTGTTCACCAGACTGGGAATTAAGGTTGAGCAGGTGTGCAGGGAATTCTTTTTTTTTGGTATTAGGGATAAAATCCAGGACCTCACACTCAGAAGGGCTGGAGTGCTGGAACTAGCCAGATCTCTAGCCCCTCTGAGTACAAAATTCTAAATAACAGGGACAGTAAAAACAAGGCATATAAACATGAACAGCAAGCAGACAGGTCTGTTTGTAGTGAAATGAGAGCAGGGATTAAGAACTGAAGGGATGTTCAGTTAGGAAAGCCAAGCTAAGAACTTACTTTTTCTCCTAAAGGAAATAAGGGAAACATTTTTCTTAATTAAAGAGAAAATATCAGCATGAGCTTTGAAGGATGAGTAAAAGGATTTCAACATTCAGAAAGATGGAGGGAAGCACTAGGGATATAGCTCAGTGGTAGAACTCTTGCTTAGTATGAGCAAGGCCCTGGGTTCAATCTCTAATGGTGGGGAGGCGGGGGAAGCAAAAAAGAAAGAAAGGCAGAGAAAGACAAAAATTCTACTTGAAGGTAGCCAATTTGGAAAGCAGTATGGAGATTCCTTGAAAAGCTGGGAATAGAACCACCATTTGACCCAGCTATTCCTCTTCTCGGACTATACCCAAAAGACCTAAAAACAGCATACTACAGGGACACAGCCACATCAATGTTTATAGCAACACAATTCACAATAGCTAAACTGTGGAGCCAACCTAGATGCCCTTCAATGGATGAATGGATACAAAAAATGTGGCATATATACACAATGGAATATTACTCAGCGCTAAAAAATAACAAGATCATGGCATTTGCAGGGAAATGGATGGCATTAGAGCAGATTAGGCTAAGTGAAGTTAGCCAAACCCTAAAAAACAAATGCCAAATGTCTTCTCTGATATATGACTCAAAATGAGGTAGGGAGGAAGAGCATGAGAAGAAGATTATCACTACATAGGGAAGAGAGGTGGCAGGGAAGGGGAAAGAAAAGAGGAATTGCATGGAAGATGGAAGGAGACCCTCATTGTTATACAGAATACATGTATGACAATGTGAGGGGAAAAAAAAAAGAAGTGTGTCACATTAGATTGGGTAGAGAGAAGTGATGGGAGGGGAGGGAAGAGGAAGAAAGGAAAGGAAGGACAGCAGAACAAAATAGACTTTATTATTGCTGTGGGTATATACGTGACTGCATGACCAATGTGATTCTGCATCCTGTACATTCAGAAAAATGAGAAATTATACCCCATCTGATTCAAATGTATGATATGTCAATATCATTGTACTGTCATGTGTAACTAATTAATACAAATAAAAAATTTAAAAAATAAGAAAAGAATTCCACATGAAGGAAACATCATGCAATACAGAGTGTAGCACAATACAATAACCAATGTGGCCAAAATGGAATCCTTATTATGAAGAATTTCAATCCTCTCATTGAAGGATCTGTATTCAGTGATATACATAATGGGAATAAGTGGTGGTTTTTTTTTTTTTTTTAAGAGAGAGAGAGAGAGAATTTTTTTTTAATATTTATTTTTTAGTTTTTGGTGGACACAACATCTTTGTTTGTATGTGGTGCTGAGGATTGATCGAACCCAGGCCGCACGCATGCCAGGCAAGCGTGCTACGGCTTGAGCCACATCCCCAGCCCCATGAGTGGTGGTTTTTAAGTAAAGGAGTGGCCTGAATGCAGCTGCACTTAAGAAAATTAATTTGACAATGATACAAGTGTACAATGGAGTAGAAAAGGCTGAAGGCAAGAAACCCAATGAGGAGGTCTTTGTGACACTGCAGGTGAGAGATGATGAGACTACAAGAACACTATCTTACACTTTGCACCTCTGGGACTCTCTACTATATCCATTCTCAACATCTGCAATGTTCTACCAGGCCTCACCACAATCTGTCAAACTTCACCCTCTATTCTCAGCACTAAAGACCTATTTCTGCCAAACGTGGTGGTGCACTCCTGTAATCCCAGTGATTTGGGAGACTGAGGTAGGAGGAGGCCAGCCTCAGAAAGTTGGCAAGACCCTGTCTCAAAATAAAATTTAGAAAGGTCTTGGGATGTAGCTCAGAGGTAAAGCACCTTGTGCTCTATCCCCAGTGCCACAAGGGAAAAAAAATAATAATCCTAGTACTAGTTAAAACTCATAGATGTGCTACAGGAAGCTAAATGTTTCCACACTTTAATCTCCTTTAAACAAACTCCAAGTATTAGTAACACCATTCACTTCAAAAAAGATTTTATACACGTCACTTAAAGATTCTAAAGTATCAAATTTTGAAATTACTGGTAAAAAAATTATTTCATAGCGTGAATGAAACTCCAACATATTTCAGATAGTGCTACCTATAATACTTTCTAAGCAACTGACAGAAAATACTATTATTTTATCTAATTTCTAGCTATTTACTTCCAATATGAACAATGTAATTGGCTGATGTTTGAGTAAGTGAACCATATGTGACACTGACATAGTATTTTTATTTTCTGAGATGCCTTCAACTCCTGGGCTCAAGTAATCTTCCCACCTCAGCCTCCCAAGTTCAGGGACTTACAGACACGTTCTGTGCCTGGCTAAGGCAAAAATTTTAATTACAGATTCACTATACCTCTTCATTTGATAACTGGGCAGAAGATTCTTCTTGAGGTAAAGCACATACTACTGGTATTTTTACTTCTTCCTCAATATCTGTTTTTTTGTGATCCTTTCTCTTATTAATTCTTTGTTGTTCATCGTCCTCCTAAAAGGAAGAAAAAACATTTATCAAGGTAATCTTAACAAGTCACAGTTCTTTAATAACACTAAACAAATAAAAAAGTACAAAGAGCTTTATACCAATAGAAAATTGGACGCTTAAAGCTTATTTGTTTTGTAATAATATTTAGGGGCCTCTGGTCATGACAAAATATTTTAAAACTGCAAGCACAAAATAAGAACCCTGCTACAAAGAAAAATATCAGAAAACAGCTTTCAAGAAAAACATATATATGAAAGTAAAGCAAAAGAAAACTAACTTTTCCCTTCAAATGATCAAAAAAGATTTTTTTTACATAGAACATTCCTTCTGATTATTGTAGAAAATAGGAAAAAAGTTGTTATGACACTACACACCCATTAGAAACATGTAAAAATTTGTATGAAATACAAAAACAATGATCAAAGTTGATGTAGAAATTCATTCAAGAAAGGTGAATAAGATACCTTCTGGGTTCCCCCAAAGACTGTTTATTAAGGAGAGACAAACACACAATTACAATTCAAGGAGGTAAAACGTTCTGCAGGAGAAATACAAGATTGATTTCATTTGAGGGATCGAGGAAGGAGCCCTAAAGGAGGCAATACTTCATGGAAGATCAGTAAGATGAGCTTGCCACTTGCCTAAGAGAAGGTAGGCCAGGGTTCCAGGGAGAAAGGAAGCATGTACAAAACAAAGAAGCCTGAGAAGGCAGGCTTATGGTGGAATGCTGAATAATTCAATGTGTCTGAAAAGTGGACAGGTACATAAAAAGTGAGGGACACAGGAAAGAGGCAATGATTAAGTGCTTAGACTCTAGAATCAGAAATTGGCTCAAACCTCAGAGCTGCTATTACTTCTCACAGCCTGCTTCCTCATTTATAACATAAGAACAGTTCTGTAGTGCCTACCTCGTATGGACGGGTTTTGCTGTTTTCTGACAATCACTTGAGATAAAGCTTTACATATAAAGCCTTAGCACCATGCTAGCACATAAACACATAGTTAGAGCTCAATAAATGTTAATAATGGCCTTAAACAACGATCTTAGTAAGCTTAGACTGTTTCAATGAGCAGCAAGAAAGGCATGACAATTTGTACTTTAGAATCTAAACCCTTAGGCTAACCCTTTGTGTGACTGCTGTCACACAAGATGAATGAGTCTGAATTAAGTGATAAAAAAGAAATTTATTAATGAATGATACTGCAGATTGAACCCAGCGGAACTTTATCACTGAGCTAAGTCCCCAGCAACCCCAGACACACACACACACACACACACACACACACACACACACAAATATATATTTTAGTTGTAGATGGACACAATACCTTTATTTTGTTTGTTTATTTTTATGTGGTACTAAGGATCAAATCCAGTGCCTCACATGTGCAAGGTAAGTGCTCTACTGCTGAGCCACAACACCAGCCCTCCCATCCCTTTGTGTTATTTTGAGACAGGGTCTTCCTAAGTTGCTTAGGGCCTCACTAAGTTGCTGAGGCTAGCTTCAAACTTCTGATCCTCCTGCCTCAGCCCCTGGGTTGCTGGGATTACAGAAATGCAATACCATGCTAACGAAAAAGAAGAAATTTAAAAGAGAAACTTCTGCAAAACAAAATTTAGCTGGGCACAGTGGGACATGCTTGTGATCCCAGCTGCTTGAGAGGCAAAGGCAGGAGGATCACAAGTTTGAGGCCAGCCTGGGCAGCTTAGTAAGACCCTGTCTCAGAATAAATACTAAAAAGGGATGGGGATGTATCTCAGTAGCAGAACACTCCAGGATTCAGTCTCTAGTACCTAAATAAATAAGTAAGTAAAATCCAACCTAAGTCACATAAGGCAATTTAAAATACTTCTTAAAATACCTAGAAAATCAATGCAAACTTTTATATAGCCACCTAGGGAAATATCTGTGCCCGTACACAATATGGTATAGGATATGTTAATAATGGCCTTAAACAACGATCTTAGTAAGCTTAGACTGTTTCAATGAGCAGCAAGAAAGGCATGACAAAATCTGTATTTTAGAATCTAAACCCTTAGGCTAACCCTTTGTGTGACTGCTGTCACACAAGATAAATGAGTCTGAATCCATGAGTCTGGATTAGCTATGGCATTACTTAAAATGACAAAATAAGGGGAGTGGAAATCTAGATGTCCATATGGAGAAATATTAAATTATGATACATACTTGCTGCCAGTTAATGAGATAGAACTCTGGTATGAAAATATATCCAAGATGATGCTTATGAAAAAATAAGTTATGGAAGAAATACTTTTATGATCCAAGTATTTGGGGTAGAGGAAGGAATCACCCTAACTATATGCTAACAAACACACAGAACTGATCTGGGAAACTATCAAACTGCTAAATGCAGTTATTTCTGGAAAAGAGGTATCGAGAGGGATTTCACCTTGATCACTTCATATGACTTTACTATTTCATTTTGAATTTTAAACAAGCAACTTTCAACATGAAAATGCATTTGTGCATTATTCATATAAGTAATTATTTTTAAATAATGAGGAGAAACTTTGCAGCACCCTGGACAACTATCTTTCATATCACTCAGTTTTTCCATCCCCATCTTGTCATCTTCTAATCAGGCTTTTAGAACAAAGTCACCAAAAGACAGCACTGCAGACAAAGATTTCACAGAAACAGGCACTGCCACATCCTGAATCTCGAAGAGGATCATTTATAAATCAGTTTCCCCCTTCTGAGATAAGGCGAAAGCTAAAAACCAAAATTCCTCAAACACAGCTATTATCTTTTTTTTTTAAAGTGGCATTCAAGAAAAGAAAAAAAGCAACAAAACAAACAAAAAACTATAAACAAGTACATGCAGCTCAGCTGCCCCTAACATGGGCAATGTTCTGGATTCCATTCCCAACACTCGATAATAATGGCAATGATGATAATAAAGTGGTACACATTACCTTGTTCCAGCTTAAATCAACACACAAAAAAAATCATACAATAATGCAATCGAGGGGAGGGGTGCTGTTATTAACAACATAAGCAAATCCTACAAAACTAGTATTCACCTGATCTTTCTTCTTTAGTTCTTCTACTTGTCGGAGCTGTTCTGAAGTTAACACAATCTCCATTCGCTGCATGTCTCTCATCAGTAAACGCTGAGATTCCAGAAACTGGTCATTGGCCTTCTGCCATGTATGTTTTAACTGGTTATGTTGTTGTCGCTCTTGCTCCAAGAGATGGCAAACTATTAGGAACCCCAATCAAAAACACTGAATTTTAATGGAAGAAAATTTCTTTAGCATAGGGCTACTAGACCAGAACAGTGGTCTGTTTTATCTATATGTGTGTTCTTGATTGGCCCCAAGAGGCAATCTACAGATGAATATGGCAGGTATCTCTACACCATCTCTCTACTGCAGAGCCTCCCAAAGTGTGTGCCCAAGAACATATGAAGAAAGGACTTCTGTGTCCATTTAAGTTTAAGAAATTCTGGGTTAAGTAAATTGTTAAAGACTACAGCAGGATTTTGAGTTGAAGGTCTTCATTATATGTATTTTCTCTTAGAAGGTGATATATGCTGGGCATGAGGGCTGCACACCTATAATCCCAGCATTTTAGGAGGCTGAGGCAGGAAGATTACAAGTTCAAGGCTGGCCCCAGCAAGCAAACCAGGCCCTAAGCAACTTAGTGAGACCCTGTCTCAAAATGAAAACCAAAAAGGGCTATAAATGTAGCTTAGTGGTAAAGGGCTCTTAGGTTCAATCTCCAGTACCCGCCTCACCCAAAAAAAGGTAATAAGTAATATAGCATTTTCCAAATTTATTAGACAAATAATAACAAGGACTGGGGATGTGGCTCAGTGGTAGAACACTTGCCTGTCATAAGTGAAGTCCTGGGTTCAATCCCCAGTATCACAAAAATATAAACAAATAAAAACAATTTTTACAGTTCAGTTTAAATAAATGAAGGGAATACACCTTGGCAAATGTTGTTCTAAAGGCCCATGTGTGGTAACTACTCCTAAATATGCTTAATACGTTTTGATAAATCTGTCATTCAGGAATCCTTCCTGGGCCCATTTAGTTCTGCCTCCTTAGGATAAGTAAAAAAATTGTAAAATATATACATTGTTGATACCATCAGCTCAGCCATCTTACTTTGAAAACATCTATCTATGTTTATCTTTATCAATAGATAAAGCACTATCTACCTATCTACCCATCCACTCATCCACCCAACCACCCAAGTCAGAAACCTGAGAGAATCATATTTCTGACTTCGTATCCCCATCTATCTTCTGATTTCTGGCTTCTGCCTTAGACCAGCCCTTAGGATTTAAGGCAACTTCAATGGTAGTCCCATTTTCATTCTTCCTGAGCTGGCCTTTAGATTGGTCTTTGCTCTCTCTTTCCTATCCTCCAGACTGCTATTAAACCGAAACCTTTTTTTTTTTTTTTTTTTTGGTACCAGAGATTGAACCCAGCCATGCTCAATCAACCATTGAGCCACATCTCCAGCCCTTTTCTTTTGTTTGTTTGTTTTATTTTAAGACAGGGCCTCATTAAGTTGCTAATGCTAACTTTGAACTTGGGATCCTCCTGCCTCAGCCTCTCAAACTGCTGGAATTACAGGCATGCACCACTGTGCCAGCTTAAACTGAACTTTCTAAAACTCAAAAATGATATGACTCCCCAGTTTAAAATCCTTCAGAGAAGCCAGACACAAAGGGGCATATATCATATATTACAAAATTCTGTTCAAATGAAAAGTCAGAACAGGAAAACCTGGAGACAAAAAGTAGATTTGTGATTGCCAGGGGCATGGGAAAAGAGAAATTGTAAATGACTACAAATGGGTAAGGATTTCTGAGGTAATGAACTGTTTTGGAATTAGATAGTGGTTGATGACATATAATTGTATATTAAAAACCACTGGGCAACCCTCTTGGGACCCCTTCCTATGTGTGCTCCACTTTCTGTTTCAAAAATAAATTCTTACTTTACTCTCAAAAGAAAAAAATTCAATTGTACACTTTAAGAGGCTGAATGTAAATTAAATTACATCTTGATAAAGCTGTTACTTAAAAATCAACTGAGACAGGAAAATCGCAAGTTTGAGGCAGCCTCAGCAACTTAGCAAGGCCCTAAGCAACATAGTGAGACCCTGTCTCAAAAAGTAAAGAGCTAGGGATGTAGCTCATCGGTAAACTGCCACTAGGTTAAATCCCAAGTACCAAAAAAAAAAAAAAAAAAAAAAGCCCCTGAAGAGGCTCTTTAAAGCCAATCTGATAAAGTTCAACATCCTGAGCATAAGACCTCCATTATCTAGTCCATGTCCACTGTTCCAATATTTCACTTTGCCCATTTTCTCTTGCATCCTAATCATGCTGAACTACTCTCTTCTACTTCCTTAACTAGCTGTACCACATGCAAATGCCCTTGCATGCCATACTCCCCCAGACTCCTGTCAAGTATTCACCCCTCTCTTAAAACTTCACTTAATAAAAGAAAACAAAACAACGACAAAAAAAGAACAAGCTAAACTCTACTAAGAATAACTTTTTTCAGCCAGGCACAATGGGACATGCTGTAGTGCCAGCTACTTGGGGAGTTGAGGTGGAAACATCACCTAAGCCTAGAAGTTCAAGACCAGTCTAGAAAACACAGTGAGAGTTCCATCTAAAAAAAAAAAAGAAAAAAAAATTAAAGAATAATTTCTTTTAAAAAACTCACCTATTCCTAAGAAAAAAGAATTGGGCCTATCTTTGTTGGTAATATTGCTATATCCTAACATACTTCCCAGCACAGCACCTTTAACAAGCACTTAAATTAATTTGATTGCATATCTAATTCCCCCAATTTAGGCAACAAATTAAACTGCTGCTCAACTTTTCTCTCTTTCACTTTAAAACACTATTTTTTGTAGCCATTTTAGAACAAAATTACTTCTCTTATCCCTTCCTCATTTTCATTATAATTTCTCAATTACTTGTCTCAGATATATTAGAAGGTTTGATAACCTCAACAACTTATTCTAAAAGAGCTGGGATACAAAGTTTAAACCAAGATTGTACTTCTTTTGGAAACCCTTTGACAGTATGGTTATCTGTTTGATTTTAACAGTAGTAATATTTGAAAAGTATGTCCTGAAGGCCAAAGACCCACTCAAAGTTTGGGTTATTTTCATAATGTTTTCTGAAATAATTTTTTAGGTTTATATCATTTTAGCATTCCACTATTTGGAAAAAAAATATATGGTTAAGTTATTTATGACTCTGTTTTCCATAGCACTGAATGTACTTAAATTCTGTTAGAATTCTATCAACACACTCCAAATCCTGCACATTAAAATGTTGCTAGTATAAGCTGCAACAAGTCTAGGATTTCAAGGAATCCATATACTAGGATAAGGAAAAAAAAAATCTTTATTTTCAATATTCTGTAACTGAAATTCACCATTTCCTTCATTGTAAAGTCTAGGCAATACAGTAGAAGAAAAACCATGACTTGACCATCATTAGAAATCATAGATATTTTTATCTGTACTACAGTTGTTGCAGATTTTTTTTAGGGGGGGGGGTGCTGGGGATTGAACCCAGGGCCTTGTGCACGCAAGGCAAGCACTCTACCAACTATATCCCCAATCCAGCAGACCTCTTAATGTATCATTTATGCACAACACTATTTCAAAATGACAGTAGTTAAACCCAGCACACCTATAATCCCTGCAACTTGGGAGGCTGAGGCAAGAAGATCAAAAGTTTGAGGCCAGCCTCAGCAATTTAGCAAGACCCTGTCTCTAAACAAAAATAAAAAGGCTAAATGGGTTCAGTGCCCAGTACAAAAAGAAAAAAAGCAGTTATTAAATCTGCTGCTAGACCTTGTTATTTAGTGTATAAAATTAGCTCATTTGTAAGTTTTAGGGTTACTTTTTCCTTCCATACCTGATTTAGAAAATACAGAGTCAATGTATACGTCACTCTCCTACAAGACTAGTAAAATCCAAAATAGTCCCTTAAAAACAAGGATGTTACTGCCGGGCACACGCCTATAATCCCTGCAGCGTAGGAGGATGAGACAGGATGATCAAGAGTTCAAAGCCAACCTCAGCAACTGTGAGGCACTAAGCAACTCAGTGAGACCCTGTCTCTAAATAAAATATAAAATGGGGCTGGGGATGTGACTCAGTGGTCAAGTACCCAAGTTCAGTCCCAGGTGCCAAAAAAAAAAAAAAAATAGGGATGTTAAGTGAGTGTATAGATATGAACATCTACAACTATATCTACAACTACTCTCAACTACAATGGAGGCTGAGTCAAGAAGATCACAAGTTTGAGGCCAGCCTGGGCAACTTACTTAGTGTGACTGTCTCAAAGTTTAAAAAGGTGGGGCTGGAGATGTGGCTCAAGCGGTAGCGTGCTCGCCTGGCATGCATGTGGCCTGGGTTTGATCCTCAGCACCACATACAAAGAAAGATGTATGTCCACCAAAAAACAATTCTCTCTCTCTCAAAAAAAAAAAAAAAATTCAAAGTTTAAAAAGGTTTAGGAGTTGGGCTGGGGATGTGGCTCAAGTGGTAACGCGCTTGCCTGGCATGCACGGGGTGCTAGGTTCGATCCTTAGTACCACATAAAAATAAAATAAAGATGTTGTGTCCACCGAAAACTGAAAAATAAGTATTTTTTTAAAAAAGGGTTAGGGGTGTAGCTCAGTAGTAGAGTGCCCCTGGGTTCAATCCCCAGGCCTGTTAAAAATAAATAAATAAATAATAAACCAAAAATAAATAAATAAATAGTAAAACAATTTCTGGTAAGGTAATTCCAAAAAAGGGTTGGGGGTGATGGCTGGGGTGTGGCTCAGCAGTAAAGCACCTGCCTCCATGTGTGAGGCACTGGGTTTGATTCTCAGCACCACATAAAAGTAAATCAACAAAATAAAGACGCTGCATGTACAACTAAAAACATTTAAATAAAAAAGCGGGTGGAGGCTGGGGGATAGCTTGCCAACAAGCAGGAGGTCCTGGATTCAATATCCACAACTAGGAAAAAATAAAAGGATGTTAAACTGGACACAATGGTGCAAACATGTAACCCAGTAACTCGGGAGGCTGAGACAAGAAGATCACAAATTAAAGGCCAGCATGAGTAACTTAGTGAGACCCTTGTCTCAAAATAAAAAACAAAGAGGGCCATGGATATAGCTCAGTGAAAGAGTGCTTGCTTAGCAAGTCTAAGACCCTGGATTTAAGTCTCAGTACTGTTTTAAAAAAAGGAATGTTAATAAGGCCCACAGAATAGATTGTCTGCCCTCTCAATCACATTCTCACTTTTGCTAATTCACATCCATCAAACAGGGTATGCAAGCAAAAGCAGTATAAGCACACATTTCCAGCCTTATTATCTTTCTGCTGAGAGCTCACACCTTATACAGTTATTGCTGAAGTTATGGAGGAACACAAAAGCACTATCAATCCAAGGACCTTTAGTAGTTCTCACAGCTTCAGCTTTGCATAAGAACATTCAAATTGACCACAAAGCTTAAACTGAATCACTAGACCACTGAATCACAGACCACTAAGCCAAATCCCCAACACTATTTTGTATTTTATTTAGATACAGGGTCTCACTGAGTTGTTAAATGCCTCACTGTTGCTGAGGCTGGCTTTGAACTTGCCATCCTCCTGCCTCTGCCTCCTAAGCTGCTGGGATTACAGATGTGTGCCACAGTGCCCAGCTTGAATTGGAATTTCAAAATTTGTTATTATTAGTTAATATCAAATTGCTAACATAGTTATCTTCAAGACTGAAATAAAAATATTTAGAACATACATTTACCTTCATGCAATTCTTTCCGGAGTTTCTCAGCATCTTCCTGTAGAACAGATTTCTGAGTATTCAAAACAGCTACGTACATCTCTAGATCAGTCCTACAAGATTTCTCAGCTTCCAAATAATGATTCAGTTCTTTAACCTGAAAGATGATGCATCTATCAAACTGAAATTTTACAACAGTTTCTACATTAGGTATAACGTCCAGTACTTAAAAAAATAAAAAAAAGTAAGTTCTGGAAAAAATTTACATTTACTTTTACATAAATTTATGTATACACAAAATTAACATTAGTAATTTTAATTCTAAAACAAATACATACTTATGAAAGAAAACTTGGAAAATAACATAATTAATAGATGTTATCCATAATTCCATCACCTGAATAAATATGCAACTGAAATTACACATAATTGTTTTATAGTCTGCTTTTCAAAAAAGTTCCATTTTCATTTTCAGAGCAATGCAGGTGCTTATTTTATCCCACACTTAGTAACATCAGGTATGGATTGAGTTTTTTAAATAGCAGCTAATTTTTAAAGATAAAAATGACAACATATTCTTGTAACTTTGATTTTCTTCAATTTCTGGTAAGGTAATTCCAAATATCTTAAATTTATAAAAAGGAGAAATTTTCACCAATACTTATTCATGGAAATTAAAAGAAAGGAAGTCTTGATGAGAAGAAGTGCCCTTATGTGCCACTAATCACATAAGGGCATAATATTTTTTTAAATCACATAATTTTATAAAGTGCTTTATTTTTGTTAAACAATTAAACTGTAATACCTATAATATTAACAACACAGCCTAATATTTGAAATAGATATAACCAGAAAATCTAGGATTGTAAGTCACTTTTTTATACTTTCACATAAATTGTTCATTCTAACCATTTAGTTAACTTTTAGCTTTTTACATGGCTATACTATATCTAATTTCATACTCAAGGTCACTTTCAGCCTTTTTCTATTTCTTCAAACAGCTGGCTTATCTGTTTTTAGTTATCCTTATTCCTAGACCATTACACTGTACTAGTCAGAGACTAAAATGATTACTGACACTGCAATTTGATGCTTTACTGGAGGTCGTCAGTCAACCACAAGGCACTAACCAAACAAAGCAAAGTGCTTTCCCTGACACCTGTTATCATCAAATGGTAATGAAGAGACAAAAGAGCCATTATAAATGACAGTATACAACTGCTAACTCTACCAGCTCTAACTTCTTAGAATAAAGATTTCAACTGAATTAAAAATTAGTGAATTTCTAATATTTGAAAGCTATTAAGAAGACTCTGGGAAGATAGTGGAAGCAGCAGCATAATATTTTTATTTCTTTGAATTCTACAACCCTAACAACTCATCAAAAACTTACAGACAGCTACAAAAATCCAGGTAACACAGAGTAATAGTATAGCTGAGGACAAACCACTGAAAGACTGAAAGAGTAACCTGAATGAGGCCCAGTACCACAAAGAGAGATATCGATCCATATGGTATCAGGAGAAAGTAGAAAGAAGTAACAAGGACTCCCCCACATCAAGAACCCCAAAATAGTGATCTTGGGATCTGATGTTATGACAGTAGCTGAAACACTACAACAGTAAGTTGAATGTAACAAATTTATTCTGTAAGATTTATAACCTGGTTAAAATGGTATCCCACTTTCACCTGTATTTCTCTGATTTCTTAGTATAGCCAGATATTATTTTTTACATTCCTTGACTATCTAATTTCCTCTTTTGTAGCTACTCATTCATATACTTTACCTGTTTTACCAATGGGCCTTTTGTCATGCACGGACTTGGCAATCTTTATAAATTTGGGCTATTGTCAGGAATAGGAGCTATACATATCTTCTCAGTCTACAGCTTCTCTTTTTCAACTTTTTGTAGACCTTTTAACAAGGAATATTATATTCTAAGGTAGCCAAATTTGTCAGTGTTTTGTCCATAATCAATAGTGTTTTCTTTTTGACCCCAATTTTTGTGTGCACATTTGTGAACTCCAAGGCCTTGCACGTGCTAGGTAAGTGCTTTACCAATGAGCCACACCCTAGCCCCATACTGTTTTTTAATATCTGAAAGTTTTAAAGATTTTCACTTTTAGATTTTTAACTAACATAAATTAATTTCCATAAGGTATGAGGTATAAAGTTAATTTCACTTTATTCTGAACACGTAACGATTTGAAAATCTTCCTGCCCCTAATCCCTTATACTGAGGATTGAACAAGGGTGCTCTACCATTGAACTTCAACCCCAGCCCTTTTTATTTTGAAACAGGGTCTCATTAAACTGCTCCGGCCGGACTCAAACTTGAAATCCTCCTGCCTCCACTTCCAGAATCATTGGGATTACAAGTATGCATCAGTGTCCAGCAAAAAGTATATTTCAAACAATCTGAACCTTCGACACTAATTTGTCTTGGTTTTGTTTGCTGTTTTTTGTGGTGCTAGGGATCAAACCCAAGGCCTTGTACATGCGAGGCAAGCACTCTACCAACTGAGCTATACCTGCAGCCCACCCTTCTCCACTAATTTGTAATGTCACCTGCCACTTACCAATTTCCACAGACATATGAATCTATCTCTGGGCTCACTATTCCGTTTCATTGATCCATTTGTTTATCCAGAAACCAGGGACAAACTATCTTAATAAATAGTAGGTACAGCAAGTCTACTGCCATGTCTTCTTAAAAATTTTGCTGGGTGTATTCCTGATCTGTTATTTCCCTGTAGGAATGCTATGAGCTAATCTGAATTTACAGATTAAATTGGGAGTATACCAATTGCTTTACAATGCTTTTTATCAGGAGTATACACACAGGTCTTCATTTATAATGTATTCTATAAAGGTCTTACCCACCTTTGTTTATTCTTAGGTAATCAAGAGTTTTTTCTGCTGTTGTGAATGGGATCCTTCTTCCTGCTACATTCTATAATTGGACATTACTGGAGTATAGAAACATCTCCTTTTTTTTTTTTTTATGTTGACCTTGCTGGAACAGCTTTCAACTAGTTGAATTCTTACTTGGTCTAACAATCTGTTGTGCATTTTCTGGCTTTTCTATGTAGACAATCAAATCAGTTTCATCAGATTCTTTCCAGTTCTTCTCATTTCTTTATGTTGCCTTGCTATATCATCTAGGACCACAAAAACAACCTCAACAAAATTCCTGAGCACAGGTCTCCACATAGTGTTCCCAACACTGCTAAACATTTGTTAACTGTGCTTACTGAAGGTTTGATAAACAGCCCTTTGTTTAATGTTTAAATTTATCAAAGGCCTTCGGAATCCAAGACAAACATTGCTCTTCTGCAGTCTTTTTTGTGGTACATCACAATAATATGCCATCCTGATACATGTAAGAATGATATGCCATCCTTAAATTGCTGGGAATACTCCCTACTTGGTTGTGATGTTTTTCCCTTCTTCTTCAGTACTGGGGATTGAACACAGGCTAGTGCTCTACCACTGAGCTACTTCTCCAGTTTTTGTTTGTCTTTTGAGACAGAGGCTTGTTAGATTACCCATGGGCCCTTTGAGCTTGCAATCCTATGGCCTCGGCCTTCCTAATCACTGGGATTACCGATGTACACAACCAAGTCTGGCTGTTTTCCACCCCTACCCCCAATGGTTTAACAAATGTTAAAAAAAAAATTTAACTTCCAGATTCCTGAGACAAATCTATGAAAGGAGAAATTTTTTTTCCTCTTCTATTCTCTGAAACAGTGTGTAAAATATAAGGATTCTCTTTCCAAAAGATTCTGAAAAATGTGCCTGGAAAATCAACTGAGTTTAATGTCTTGGAAAGAGGAGGCAGGAAGAACAAAAATCTGATTCTAGACTAATTTTCTTCAATAATTACTACTTTACCTGGCCTATGTCATCTTGGGAAAATTCTGACTAAATGTATTTCATGAGAATTTTTTTCATTTCATTTTTTCAAGTTTATTAGTATATCACTGTTTGTAGCATTTACTATTTTTAACTAAGGATTTGCAATCATGTCCCATTTCATTTCTAATGATTAGAAAATTTTTTCACTTTTCCTGATAAGACTTTAATATTAGAGATTGTCTAATTACTTTTTCCAATTTCTCATATGTTGATTATTCTCTATTATTCTTTTGCTTTTCTATCTCACTAACTTCTGTTCTTTCTTGTACTATTTCCTTCCACTTACTTTCGGTTTTTACCATTATTATTTTCTCCTTTACATTTTTTTGGGGGGAACTGGGGGCATGGGTTAGGGTTAGGGTTAGGGTTTGAACTCAGGCACATTTGACCACTGAGCCACACCCCTAGCCGTGTTTTGTATTTTATTTAGAGACAGGGTCTCACTGAGTTGCTTAATGCCTCACCGTTGCTGAGGCTGGCATTGAACTTATGATCCTCCTGCCTCAGCCTCCTGAGCTGCTGAGATTACAGACGTACGCCACTGTGCCTAGCTCTTTTTTCCTTAATATTCTTGAGCTAAATATCCCCATCACTCTACATATTTTGTGATTACTTTTTCCATGATTTCCCCCCCTTTTTCCAAGCATTTTATTTTGACTATCTTTTTTATTTTGTGAATAACTGAATAATCTGGGATTGGACAACTGGATCTGTAGAACATCAATTCTTTGACATTTGTTAACAATTCCTTTCTGACCTTATGAAAAAATGTATCTGAAAATACCCTATAAAAAGCTTAATGGGCTGGGGATATAGCTCAGTTGGTAGAGTGCTTGCTTCCCATGCACAAGGCCCTGGGTTCAACTCCCAGCACCACAAAAAATATAAATAAATAAATAAAAAGCTTAATGTATCATAATGCTAATAAATATCATGAAAAGGATAATGTATCTAATAATAATAATATATCCCATATACTATCCTAAGGGTTCATATTAACTCGAACCATCCTTATAATATCCTTATAAGGTATTATAAAGGGTATTATAAAATGTCCCCATTTTATAGCTGAGAAAAGAAAAACAGAGTAAGATTAAGTAACTTTTCCCAAGGTCACCCACACTACTAAATGCTGAGATTTTAACTACTATGCTCTACAAAATATTATCTTTCTTTTTTGACTATTAAATCTAAATTTGATGTGTATATTAAATCTAAATTATGATCCTGATTTTTCAAAATTCCTGTAGCCCTACTAATATTTTTTTCTCCTTGCTCTAAAGATCAGTTCAAATTGCCTACTGTAACTGTGTCAATTTCTCCTTGTAGTTGTTCACATGTTTCAAGACTACATAAGGCACATTCAAGTTCATAATTATCTTACTGATGAATTAAGTAGGTTCCCTCTTTAATAGTTTTTCCTCCTTATCCTATCCATTTGATATTACACTTCCTCTATCAGTTTTCTATTGGCTGGAATTTATACAGTATGTTTTTCTATTTTGGTTTTTCTTTGTTTGTGGCTCTGGGGATTGAACCCAGAGAACTTCTACTGCTGATTTATACCCTATTTCTTTTTGAGACAGGATCTAAGTTATATTTATTTTCAATCTTACTTTGGGGTTTTATTTTAGGTGAATCTCTTATAAGCAATATCAACTTATGTTTATCAGTTAAACTGATAAATCTTTTAGTAGGTCTCAATTTATTACATTTACTAGGATTATTGATACATTACCATTTTTTTATATTCCTGTTTTCTGCTGTTATCATTTTTCATTATTTGTTTCTTTCCTACTTTTAATCTTTACTTTTTTCTTTTTTCTTTAATTTCAGTGGTCCCGGAGATCCAAACCAGAGTTTCATACATGCTAGGCAAGCACTCTACCACTGAGCTATACTTCTACTTTCATTTTTTTGTTACTGGGATTAAACCCAGGGCACTTTACCATTGAGCTACATCCCCAGGCCTTTTTATTTTGAGAGATAATCTCACTAAGTTGCTTAGGGCCTTGCTAAGTTGCTCAGGCTGGCCTCGAACCTATGATGCTCCTGCCTCAGCGCCCTCAAATCTCTCGGATTAGATGTTTGCACTACCACACTTGGCCCTAATAAAATTTCCAACAATCCATTTGTATTTTCTCTGGTGTGTCTTTATGGACAACAAAGTCAGTCATTATTACAGTTACATTCTTGTTAAAAGATCAAGTCTAGGGCTGGCATCAAAAAACAGTCAACATTGAACAGTTTATTTTCCAAGATAAAAAAAATTAATGAGATTGAATCATTTTGATAAGAAAATAAACATTAAATTTGAAACAAGGTAGCAATTTATGATAGGACATCATTATTATAATTATTTAAAATATCCATAAGAGAGAAATCATCTCAATGCTTTTATTTGTTTGTTTGCTTGCTTTAGTGGTGATGGTGGTGGGACTAGGGATTCAACCAAGGACTTCACATGTGCAAGGCAGATACTCAACTACTGAGTTACATCACCAGCTCCCCCACCCCACCCTCACTCTATTTTATTTACTTACTTACTTATTTATTAGTACCAGGGATTGAACCCAGAGACCACATCCCCACCCCTTTTTATTTTTTATTTTGAGACAGGGTCTTACTATGTTGCTGAGGCTGGCTTTGAGTTTGCAATCCCTCTTGCCTCAGACTCCCAAGCTGTTGGGGTTACAGGTGTGCGCCACCATGCCCAGTTCCTTTTATTTTGTGACAGGGTCTCCCTGAATTGCCCACACTGGCCTCAACTTGCAATCCTTCCTCAGTCTCCTGAGTAGCTGGAATTACAAGTGTTTATAACCATGTAGTTTTTTTGTATTATAAACAAAAGCAAGATTCTTTTTTTTGGTACCAGGGATTGAAGCCAGTGGTGCTTAACTACTGGGCCACATCCTCAGCCCCTTTTTGGTATTTTATTTAGAGCCAGGGTCTCACTGAGTTGCTAAATGCCTCACCAAGTTGCTTGAGGCTGGCTTTGAACTCACAATCCTCCTGCCTCAGCCTCCTGAGTGGCTAGGATTACAGGTGTGCTCCACCGTGCCCGCCAAAAGCAAGATTTTTAAGACTCATAGTCTAAATTAGTTTTTCCCCCTTAATGATTCTAATTTTGCTCATGGCATTAGGGCAGATGGATTTCAATGTTTCACAACCTTTGAGGCCTCCAGCTCTTTAATCTTGTCTTCAGCCTCTGTCAGTTTATCTTTCAAAGCTGCAATTTCCTTCTCCATTGGCATCACAACAGACCGAAGTTTTTCAGCATCTTCTTGGGCCTATGGTTAAAAAGAATTAAATGGTACAACTTACTCATAAAAACTAGTATTACAAATAACTACACCAAGCACTTTACTGACATTCAGAAAATTAAACTGAATCTAACTTTAAATGTCAAGTCATAATCAGGGTTTTGCCAAATATTTAATTTACAATTTGAAATAGAAAAATTGATTTTTTAATTGAGTAACTGAGTTAGTAAGTATCTCATATATAACTGAAAATGCACACAATAAATATTTTTTCAACTCCTGGTTACTATGTTAATAAAACATAATTTCCTTTTTTTTTTTTTTTTAACTCGGGTGCTCTTCACTGAGTGACAATCCCAGCCCTTCTTTATTTTTCTTTTGACACGTTACTATAAATTAGTATATTTATAATATTTATAATAATATATTTATAATAATAAATATACTAATAATCCATTACTATAAATTAGTAAACTGACGAGAAACTAAATTTTCATTTTTTAATATATACATACACACACATACAGAGAAACAATGACTCGAAAAGCTGGAGTTCTTCCTGCTAATAAATATGAAAATTAACCTTAGTCACTCAATGTAAATGAGCAAAAATTTATCACAAATTGTTTAGGACAGGGAAACATATGCACAAATATAAAGGGGACTTTAAAAAAAAAAAACTATATCCCCTGGAAAAGAACAACTCATATTCACTTTGTTTTTAAATCCTTACACTCTTCATTTATTTTATTTTGAACTAAGTACTGTTTGGAAAAGACATGTTAGTTTTAAACATCTCCACAGTTAGTTTGGGATCACTTGACAAAGATCATTTGGAGGTAGGGGGAAAAGGTGAGAGAAAGTAAAAAATGTATCATAGTTATTTCTTTTTTTTATTATTATCTTTTTTTTTTTTTTTTTAGTTGTAGTTGTCTATGGACCTTTTATTTATTTACTTTTATGTGGTGCTGAGGATTGAACCAGTGCCTCACACATGCTAGGCAAGCACTCTACCACTGAGCCACAACCCCAGCCCCCATAGTTATTTATTAATACAAATATAACCTCACAATTCCAAGTGTTAGATCATTGTAAACAAAGTTTTAAAGAGCATTGTTAAAAATCAAAGAAAGGTCATTAAAGGCAAGGAAAATCTAAGAAACTGTAATAACTAAGAAGAGTTAATGTGATATCCCGGACAAAGATCTATGAACAGAAAAAAAAGGATATTAGGTGAAAACTAAAGTAATCTGAATACAAAGAATGTATCTTAGTAATAATGAGTGGATATGAGTTTATTAACTGTGACAAATATATCATATTAATATAAAAATTAATAAGAAAAACTGGGCATGGAACATATAGGAACTGTCTACTATCTTATAAATTTTCTGTTAATCAGAAATGGTTCTAAAGCAAAGTTTATTTTAAAAATTAAAGCACTTTAAATAACAAAGTGGCATATTACAGAAGTAACAAATATGTACATTATTTGGATTAGTAATAGAAGATCATGATCCTATTGACAAAAATTTATTTTGAAAATTTTAAGATAATGTGGTTTTAAAAACATGGATGTAGACTGAAGTTGTAACTCAGTAGTGGAGCACTTGCCTAGTATGGGTGAGACACTGGGTTCCATCTCAGCACAACATATAAATGAATAAATAAATTAAATAAAGGTCCAATAACAAAATATGTATGTATATTTAAAATTATGTATACATATAAATAAATAAATACTTAGCTTATATTATCAAACTGGGCAAAGGTTATTTATATTTTCTCAATGATAAAATGTCTCATATTTAGTAGCCCTGTGTTCAAGCATTAGATGGTATTATGCTCAAGCATTCTGTCACACAGGAACCAAGGTAAACTGAGAAAGAAGGAAAATTGACACCTGTTCTAAAACTTTGGTTTAAGTGTAATCATTAAGCAATGAGCCTTATGCAAAAAACATTTATTAAACACCTATGTGGAGCTGGAGTTGTGGCTCATTGGAGTTAGAGCACTTGCCTAGCATGTGTAAGGCCCTGGGTTCGATCCTCAGCACCACATAAAAATAAATAAAGGTATTGTGTCCAACTACAACTAAAAAATAAATATTAAAAAAAACCCTATGTGTTAGATTCTATTCTAGGTAAATAAAGATTTCTACTAACATGGAATTTTTATTCTAACAAAGAAAGGTGGCGAATAATAAACACAATAAAAAACAAACTGTTTTAAAGAAATATGTGCTTATAAAAATACATGCATTGAGGGCTAGGTTTATAGCTCAGGGGTAGAGCACTTGCCTGACATGTGTGAGGCACAAGTTCGATCCTCGGCATCACATATAAATAAGCAAATTAAGATGCATTGACAACTTTAAAAAAAATGTTTAAAAAAATACATGCATTGTTTTATAAAGAAATATGATGTTTTTTATGGTCCCCAAGACAAATACAACACTACCTACCTGAAAGTAGGAAAAAAGGGGCTTATTTCAATATTTTACTGTAACCCAAGAATAACGGAGTGAGTCACATGCATTGTCTAGGAGAAGGGGAACACATTATCTAGTACTATAACCATATTCATTAAAGCACTTGCACCTGGATTCAAATATTTCTATAGATGAACATATTCTTTGGTACCTTTTTCATTTCGTTTTCTAAATTTTCCTCCTCTTGACCTTCAGACAGTCGTCTTCTTAAATCAGCTATTTCCCTTTCTGCAGATTCTCGATATTGTGACCATTGTGCTCGCTCCTGTTCCAGCCTAAGGTGAAACTGGTGCTCATAGTCACGAACTGTTTCTATAAAACACCACCACGTATTCATGTCTAAGCATTGGTACACTAAATTTTGTAGTCATAAAATGATCTTATGCTTAATTTCTGAAAATCTATTAACTCTCACACAAAAATGAAGCTAACATTCCTAGTTCTTTTTTTTTAATTTGTTTTCCTTTTTTTTAGTTATTATATGTAGAATTAAAGGGTTTTATTAAGCTATGATCTCCAACCTTCATAATAAATCTATGACATACATTTTATAAACAGATGAGAAACCAAAGGATAGATTAAATAGTCTACCCAATGTTTCATAACCATAAATAAACAAGGCTTGAACTCAAAAGTCAACTCCAAAATCTATGTTCTACCATCAAGGCACCCAAGACAATTACAACATGTCTAAATACCTGGAAGTGGAGGAAATGGATTTATTTCTTGAATATTATACTATAACCAAAGATACTAACTGAAATAAATTCTATGAAGTATTTATATTTAAATGTAATCTTAAAACATTATGTGATAGACACATTGATTATTAATTTTCACTCCATCTTCTTTACTAATAAAACCAAGTTTTGTTTAGGAAGTCAATGTGCCCAGTTTAAAATCTACATTTTCAAGTCAGGTGTGGTGGCAAACCCTGTAATCCCAGCGACACTGGAGGCTAAAGCAGGAGGGTCTCAAGTTTGAGGCCATCCTCAGCAACTTTATCGAGGCCCTAAGTAACTTAGCAAGACCCTGTCTCAAAAACAAAACAACAATGACAAAAAGTGGTGGGGATGTGGCTCAATGGTTAAGTAACCCTAAGTTCAATCTCCAGCACAAAAATAAACTAAACATTTTCATGCTGGGGGTGTAGTTCAGTGCTTTTCTCACATGAATGAGGCCTTGGGTTGGATTACCACACCACAAAAAATAAAAATAGGAACTACACTTTCCAGTTTCCTTGTAATTATGGTGACTATACACTTGGTCAACAAGTATGAGGGGAGTGTATGTTGGTGGTTTCTTGAAAACTTGCTTTTCTGATGCAGACTAGAGGAAGAGCAATCATCTGTGAGCTATGAGGCAAAAACAAAGTTGAAAACCACATGCAAGGATGAAGGAACAGAAGGACTGCAGAAGTTAGGGACTCTAGTGACATCACAGGACAATTTAACTTGCCCTAGATTACCTGCTGGACTTTAATGAGAAAAATTAACTCCTGTTTGAGGAAACCACTATAATCAGATTTGTTAAAGGAAGCCTAGAGTAATCTTTACTTGATAACTCGAGACTCAGACTTAGGGCTTGTCTTCTCACAAAGAACACTAAGGAAAAAATGACATACAAATGTGAAGATACTGCAGGAGTCACATTTATCATGTTAACTAATTCTACAATCACAAAGGTTCAGGGAGAAGTTATTTCATTTTTGTCATTATTTTCTCAGAAATGTGGAAAATTTAATTCAATATTAGTCCCAAAAGGAGATAGAGGCCAAACTACAATACTTCCTTCAAACAAATGTCTCAGACTAGAAGCCCATAAAGATATTCTAACTCATAGATCATTCTATCCCCTTTAGTGCAGTGAAGATTTCATGTACAAAAATCTAAACAACATGGCAACACTAGACCAGAAAAGTAATAATCAGCTACAGCTATTAAGTGTAATCTCTTTGTCTTCTGCATGGCAGCTCTCTCTAGTTTATTACATTTCCTGTGCCCACATCTTATTCAATAACATTACATACCTAACTCATTAAATCCCATATTTAAGCCCTGCTTTATACCTAACAATTAACTGCAGTCTTCATTTAATGTATTATCTCTATAATACTCTCATTATACTCTTTATTACTAAATCTGTTAAAGACAGAATAATACATCCATTTATAGTATCACAGCTGACTTCCTCCCCCCCCACCCCCGCCCCAGCAGTGGTGGGGATAGAACTTAGGACCTTGTATGAGCTAACCAAGCACTTTAGCAGAGATTGTACCCAGAGGCACTTAACCATGGAGCTACATCCCCAGCCCTTTTTATTTTTTATTTTGAGACAGGGTCTCATTAAGTTGCCAAGGTTGGCTTTGAACTTGCAATCCTTCTGCCTCAGCATCCTAAGCCGCTGGGATTACAGCGATGCACCACCACACCTGGCTTTTAAATTTAATTTTGAGAGAGGGTCTTGCTAAATCACCCAGGCTCAAAATTTCAATCCTTCTGCCTCAGCCTCCTAGTAGCTGAGATTATAGGTACATGTCACTACACCTGTCCTACTTCTTCCCTTTTATCTGACAGTACATCTTTGAAGAAGACAGCACATTAAGCCACAAATGAACTCAGGATATACATTCAGACTGTGTGAAAATATTCTTATTGCTAAAATTTAGTTATCTTAGAAAGCCATAGAACTGATCTTTGTCTTTACCTTTCATAACTGCCTGAAGGGAAGCAACTTCTTCCCTCCACTGCCTTTTCACTTCATCTATAGCTTCTTGCTTGGTATTCTCAGAGACTGTCGCAATTGCCTTAATATTCTCCATCTCTGCTTGAGCTTCCCACAGCTGTGTCCGAAGGTGTCCCAAATCATCCTGCGCAGCTTGTAATACTGCATTTTGCCTCTTCAGATCCTCTGGAAAAAAGTAAAGACATTCTATTAATGAGGCGCTCACGTTATCAAGCTGACAATCCAGTGAAGAAATTTAGATTTTAAAATGTTTGGCTGGGGATATAGCTCAGTCGGTAAGAGTGCTTGCCTCGAATGTACAAGGCCCTGGGTTCAATCTCAGCAACACAAAAAAAAAAAAAAAAGAAAGAAAGAAAAGGTTAATATAGAAAGTGACACCATTTGCAAGAGATAAGATTTAACTATGCTGGGTACCACAAGTAAATTATTAACTATCTAATGATACAGTGGTTAAGGTCATAGTTTTTGAGCTATATTTAGGCTCTTCCACCACTGACTAAATGAAATCTGGCAATTTATTTAAACTCTCTGCCCTAAGTGTCCACAAGTACAAAATGGGGATTAAAAATTATCAGTACAACAACTGTGAGTTCTCATTATTCTATAACCACCATTCCAGTCTTTTCACAATTTGATACTGCCATCTTCATCATCATCAAATCTCCATATACACGGGTCTGGTTTGGGAACTCCACTGTATAAATATTATCTATTTGTCTATTCTCATGCTAATTTTATACTGTCTAACACAGCATTACTTATATTACTTTGTCTACTCTTGTATACTTGTTTTGTTTTGTACTGGGGATTGAACCCAGGGGTGCTTTACCACTGAGCTACATCCACAGCCCTTATTTATTTATTTTTTTTTGAGACAGGGGCTAAGTTGCTGAACCTAACCTTGAACTTGCCATCCTCCTGTCTCAGCCTCCTGAGTTGCAGCAATTACAGGTGTGTGCACATTTAAATTTTTACATAATAAAAGTTTAATAACAAAGGTCATAATAGTTTCAAATAATATAGGGGGATTTCCCCTACCAAATATCCAAAGTTATTATAAGCCCCGTGAATCTACCAGCCAGCTCCATCAACCATACACATATCTTGCCTGATCCATCCATATGCACTCCACATATACCGAGCCAAATCTCAGATTTATTTTTTAATTAATAAACTTTTTATGAGCAGCTTTAGATTCACAAAAAAAATTGAGAAGTATAAAAGATTTCCCACACACCCCATATTCTAATATACACACCACTCTCTCCCCTCTAGATATCCTGCACCACAATAGTATAATCATACAACTGGTGAACCTACATTGGCAATTATCACCCATAGTCCATATATAGTTTACATTAAGGTTCACTCCTGGTATACATTCTATGGGTTTTGACAAATGTATAATGACATGTATCACCACTGTAGTATCTATTGTCCAAATAGTTTCACTGCCCTAAAAATCCTGAGCTCTTCCTATTCATTCCTCCCTCATTCCACTCCTAGCAATCACTGCTCTTTTTGTTGCGAAAACCCAGCCCCATTTTGCCTTTTCTAAAATGTCTTTTACTTGGAGTCACTTATTATATCATCTTTTCAATTTCCCTTCTTTCATTTAGTAATACACATTTAAAGTTCCTCTCTGTTCATGACTTGACAGCTTATTTCTTTTAGCATAGTTATATACCACTGTCTGGCTATATCAATTTATTTATCCATTCACTGACTGATGGGCATCTCAGTTGCTTCAAAGTTGTGACAATCTGCTGGGGATATAACTCAATGATATAGAGTGCTTGCCTATCATGTTGGAAGCCAGTGTCCATTCCCAGTACCACAAAACAGGAGGAAAAAAGTGCGACAAGTTGTGACAATTATGGATAAAGTTGTTATACACATCTGTGTGCAGATTTTTGTGCAAACATAGGTTTCCAAGATATTTGTATAAATTGCAAGTATAATGACTGCAAAATGAAATATGAATTATGTTTAGTTTTAAAATAAACCATAAACAGTCTTCTAAAGTGGATACACCATTCTGCATTCTCCTCAGCAATGAATGAAAATTCCTGTAGCTCTGTGTCCTTATAAGGATTTGGTATTATCTGTATTTTGGATCCGGACTATTCTAATAGGTGTAAAATTGTCTATTCTCATGCTAATGTTATACTGTCTAACACAGCATTACTTATATTACTTTGTAATATTTATTACTTCATTGTTTTATTTTTTTATTATTTTTTGGGACTGGGGATTGAACCCAGAAGCGCTTTACCACTAAGCCACACCCCCAGCCATTTTTATTTATTTTTGAGACAGGGCCTTGCTAAGTTGCTCAGGAACTTGTGATCCTCCTTCCTCAGTCTCCTGAGTTGATAGGATTATAAGCATGTGCCACCACATGTGGCTCATTGTTTTAATTTACAATTCCTTAATAACATATAATATTGAACATATTTTCATATACTTACTTGCCAACTGCATATCTTCTTTAGAGATTTCTGTTTGGGTCTTTGCTTATTTTCCTATCATTGCATTTTAAGAGTTCTTTGTACACTTTGGATAATAGTCTCTAACTGTTTTGTATGTGGATGTCCAACATCATTTGAAAAGACCATTTTTCTCCAAATATTATCTTTGCTCCTTTGGCAAGAATCAGCTGAACTATATTTACAAGTGTGTGTTTTGGGGGCTCTCTACTCTGTTCTACTCTCTACTTGTGTTCTACTGAGCTATTTATCTATTCTTTCACTTAATAATACTGTAGCTTTATGTAAAGTCCTAAAGTCAGGTTGTATCAGTCCTCATACTTTGTTATTCACCTCCAATACTGAATTGACTATTCTAGGTCTTTTTACCTTGCCATATGAACTTTTGAATCATTTTGTCATTGTCTACAAAATAACATGCTAGGATTACTCTAAATCTACAGATCAGGTTGTGAAGAACTCACCCCTTGACCGTACTAAGTATTCCTGTCCAAGAATATAGGACATCACTCTATTTACTTTGCTCCTTTTTTTCCGTTGCAGTACTGGGGATTGAATCAATGATCATATTGAACCATATCTCCAGCTTTTTTTTTTTTTTAAATGGTGCTGGGGATTGAACCCAGGGCTTTGTGCATGCAAGGCAAGCACTCTACCAACTGAACTATATCCCCTGCCCTCTCCAGCCCTTTTTGAGACAAGTTCTTGCTAATTTGCAGAGGCTGGCCTTGAACTTGAGATCTCCCTGTCTCAACTTCCTATGTAACTAGGATTACAGGCATGTGCCACCATGCACAGCTCTTTATTCTTTCATCATGGTTTTATAGTTTCACTCATATAGATCTTATACCTATTATTAGATTATATCTGAACATTTTTATTTTTTGCATGTTAATGTAAATGGCAATGTGTTTTTAATTTCAAATTCCATTTGTTCATTCTGGTATGTAGGAAAGCAACTGACTTTTCTTCATTAATCTTTTATCATGAACATTGCTACACTTGCTAGTTCCAGAAGTTCCCATCATACCCAGTTTTGGGGTTTTTTTTTTTTTTTTTTTTTGCATTTTCTACATAGACATCCTGTCATCTGTGAACAAATAAAGTTTTATTATTCTTTCCCAATCCATATACCTTTCATTTCCTTTTCTCATTTAACTACATTAGGTAGGACTATGTTAAAAATCAATGGTGAGCTGGGCGCAGTAGCACTTGCCTATACCTCCAGCAGCTCAGGAGGCTGAAACAGGAGGATCACAGGTTCAAAGCCAGCCTCAGCAAAAGCAAGGCACTAAGCAACTCGATGAGACCCTGTCTCTAAGTAAAATACAAAGCAGGGCTGGGGATGTGGCCCAGTGCCCCTGAGTTCAATCCCCGGTAATCCCCCCACCCCCACCCCCCAAAAAATCAATAGTGAGATTCTTGCTCCTGATTTTAGTAGGAAAGCTTCAAGTTTCTCATAATAAGAAAAATGTTATTGCTAGGAAATGATGTTGACCAAATTATATTCTTATATTGTGGCATGTATAAATATGTAACAATAAATTCCACTATTATATATACTTATAATGCACCCATTTAAAAAACGGAAAATAAATTCTCACTTCAGCATCACATATACCAAAACTGGAACAATACAGAAGAAATTAGCATGGCCCCTGCACAAGGATGAAACACAAATTCATAAAGCATTCCATTAAAAAAAAAAAAAAAAGACAAGACTAATGTTAGGAGCTGGGCACAGTGGTACATGCCTACGATCTTAGCTACTCAGAGGGCTGAGGCAGGAAGATCCAAAGTTCCAGGCCAGGCTGGGCAACTTAATGGGATATCTGTTTTAAAATAAAATAAAGTTTTAAAACGATGGGGATGAGGCTCACTTGTGTAGCATACACAAGGCTCTGGGTTTAATTCCACCACTACCATTTTTTGTTTTTGTTTTTCTCTGCTATACTGTTACACTAAGCTACAAAACCTGGCTTTTTTTTTTTTTTTTTTTTAAGACAAGATCTCACTAAATTGTGGAGGCTGGCTTCAAATATGCAATTCTCCTGCCTTAGCCTCACAAATTGCTGAGATTACAAATATGCACCACTGCATCTGGCTGTCATTTTTACCCCCAGAACTAGTGGTTAAACCCAGGGGTACACTACCTGAGCTACATCCCCAACAACCCATCCCCACCCTCTTTTTTTAATTATAAGGCAGGGTGTGGCTAAGTTGCTGAGGCTGTCCTCAAATTTGGAATCCTGCCTAAGCCTCCTGAGTCACTAGGATTACAGAAGTAAGCCACCATACCTGGTTCTCATATTTTTTGTGTTTTCCTGATGACTTTTAAGCACCTTCTCGTATGTCTACTAGCTATTTATTTTCTTTTCACTTTCTTTTTTTTAAAGAGATTATTTTTTTAAAAAAATTTATTTATTTGTATGTGATGCTGAGAATCAAACCTAGTGCCTCATGCATGCTAGGCAAGCGCTCTACCCCTGAGCCACAATCCCAGCCCCTTTCTTTTCACTTTCTTGATGGTGTCCTTGAAAGCACAAAAGTTTGTTGTTGGTGGTGGTTTTTGTTTTGTTTTGTTTTGGTATGAAGTCTGATTTTTCTTTGGTTGCTCCTACTTTTAGTCTCTTATACAAAATATAATTGCCTGACCTAAGATCAAAAAGATTTACCTCTATGTTTTCATTTTTCACATCTGTCTTTATGCATTTTGCACTAATTTTGGGGATTAATGGTAGAAGTTCAACTTAATTCTTTTGCATGTAGGTATCCAAATGTCAGCAGAATTTGATGAAAAGATGAATCTTTGTCCCACTGAATTGTTTTGCATCTGTAGAAAAGCAACTAATGATATATGTAAGGGTGTATTTCTGCAGTCTTAATTCTATTCCATTGATTTATGTCTGTCCTTATACTAGTGCCATGTTTGATTACTGTTGCTTTGTAGTAAGTCTCAAAGTTGTAGAAAGTGAATATTTGCATTGTGTTCTTTTTAAAAAGATTATTATGACTATTCTAGATCTCTAGAATTTCCACACAGATTTTAGGATCAGCTTGTCAATTTCTACAAAGACACCATACAGGATACTGAAAGATACTACAATGATCTATAGATCAATTTGAGGAATAATGCCTCATAATAATATTAAGTCCTCTGATTGATGAATATGGGATGTCTTTCCATTTATGTAGATTTCCTTTAACTTAACAGTGTTTTGAAGTTTTCAGAATACAAGTTTTGAACTTATTTTACTACATTTATTAAGTATATTATTTATGTTAATGCTTTTTAAAATGAAAAAAACAGAAAAAGACAATCAATAAAATTTAATACTCCTTGTAGTGGAAACTCTAAACTAGTAAATAAAGGGAAATTATCTTACTCTGTGACAATGTTTGTAATAGAAACCTATAACATATATCTCCTGGTGAAACAAGAAGGCCTGTTATCAGTTCTCTGATTCTTTATTTTACCAGAAGTATCCCTAGCCAACTCACTAAAATTAAAAAAAAAAAATTATAAAATTATAAAATTTTAAGTTTTTTCCTCATGAGGAGATCATAATATGATTTAAGAATTATTCAGCATTAGCAATGAATTCCACTATTATGTATGTGAGGCTATATACTGGCATATTATTGAATATAACATATTACTAAATTTAAAGGCAGAGCTAACACCATTACTTTCTAAAACTATGGCCAAAAAAAAAAAAAAAATAGACTGGGGGGACACTCTTTGAGGTGAGTATTATCCTGATATTAAAACCAAAAAAGACTTTAGAACAAAGAAACTTGGAAAAATATCTCTTAGAAATACGAATGTAGAAATACTCAACAAAGTACCAACAAATCAAATTCAACAACACACACCAAAAAAAATAACACAGCATAACCAAGTGGAATATATCTCAGGAATGCAAGGATGGTTCAGCACTACATAAAAAAACACTACAAAATCATTCCAGTAGACAAAGACCTTTATAAGATCCAAACTCTTCCATTGTAGAAACACTAAACCAGGAATAGAAGGAAACTGTCAAGCTGATAATGGGTATCTAGAAAAACTCACAGCTAAAATCAGCCATGTTTATAAGTCTGAATGCTTTCGTCCTAATATAGAACAAGACAGTGATGTCCATTCTTACCACCATTTATTTTAGCACTAGACTGAGGTTCTGTTCAGGACCATTAGACCAAAGTGGGGAAATGAAGAAAAAATAAATAAAAGGAATCCAGATTGGAAAGGAAGTCATAAAAGATGTGAAACTATTTACTATTCTCAAATGACATAGTCTTTTGTCCTGGAAATCCAAGGGAATCCACTAATCAGTTAATGAAGTCAGTTATATCAACAGATGTTCAATGGTAAATTATTTTTGCATCCATAGTAAGCACTTCTAGTAGTATACCGCTTTTTAACACTACTAACATCAGTTTTATTTAAGATTTTAAGCTCTAGGATCATAAGTAAAATTGGTCTGTTACAGTAGTATTAGTGCTTCTTGTTAGATAATAAGGTTATAGTAATCTCACAAAATAAATTGTATAGCTCTGACCCAGGAGAAAAGACTGAGACTACTTGTTCCTTGAAGATTGGATTGCACTAAATGTTTCAAATCATGAAGTTTTAATTTGAATTTTATGTACTTATGATAGAATGTATACTTCATATTTTTTTTTTAAAGAGAGAGTGAGAGAGGAGAGAGAGTGAGAGAAAGAATTTTTAATATTTATTTTTTAGTTCTCGGCGGACACAACATCTTTGTTGGTATGTGGTGCTGAGGATCGAACCCGGGCCGCACCCATGCCAGGCGAGCGCACTACCACTTAAGCCACATCCCCAGCCCTTCATATATTTTTAAAATATGTAATGCTTCATGAATTTGCAAGTAATTATTGTGCAGGAGCCATATATAATTCTAATTTTAGTATGTGTGCTACTGTAACAAGCACTGTTCATATCTTTTGAAACATAAAATAATTAATTTATTTATTATTTTGGAAGTGAGGATTGAACTCAGTGGCACTTTATCACTGAGCTACATCCCCAGCTCTTTTCATTATTTTATGTTCGGATGGGATCCCAATAAATTGCCGAAGCTGGCCTTGAAATTGTAATCCTCCTACTTCAGGCTTCCAAGTAAGTGGGATTATAAGCATGCACCACAGTGCCTGGGTAAACTTTAAAAATGTTAAATATCAACTTAAGCAGGGTTGGTGGTTCACACTTACAATCTCAGCAACCCAGTAGGCTGAGGCAGGAGGATCCCAGGTTAGAGGCCAGCTTCAACCATTTATCGAGGTCCTCAATAACTCAGCAAGACCCTGTCTCAAAAACTAAAAAGACCTGGGGATATAGTTCAGTGGTAAAGCTTAATAGATACAAATTTTAGACCACACCCAAATATATTGTGGTTAATCGTTTCTCTAGGTGACTTTTATTCAAGTTAAAGTTTGAGAGCACTGTTCTAGACTAAAGCAGTTTTAAAATTTTAGCATGCATCTAAATCACTATGGAAAGCTTGTAGAAAACACCAATCTAATGCTAATCCCAGTTCTTAGAAAATGTGAGATGGAACCCCAAAATTGAGCATATTTTTTGGGGGGATACTGGGGATTGAACTCAGGGACACTTAATCACTGAGCTACATCTCCAGCCCTATTTTGTATTTTATTTAGAGACAGGGTCTCACTGAGTTGCTTAGCACCTCACTGTTGCTGAGGCTGGCTTCGAACTCGAGATCCTCCCATCTCAGCTCCCAAGCTGCTAGGATTACAGGTGTGCACCACTGTGCGCTGCCAAAATTGAGCATTTTTAACAACTTTTCCTGGTGATGCTGATAATGCTGTCCACAATAACACTCTGAGAGCCCTGGGTCTGTAGGACATGGAAATTATATCCATATTGCTATAAGTCAATATCCCAACCTTTTGAATTAGGTCCCCTATCATGTTCTCTCATATATTTACCTATACACTTTCCACATATTTAGTCTACATTTCTTTTCCTCACATAAATTCAATCCAACTAAAGAACTATATGAATCTTCTGTATACCCAGCAAGCACCTAAGTACAATGTCTCAGAGTAGATACTTAAGTATTCACTGAAAAATTACCAAACATTTGTCATATTAATTCCATGAAATGTCAGTTTTGATATAACGTGATAAAAACTATTATTAGAATGCCAACGGTCCTGGAGATATACCTCAAGTGTTCAAGAGCACTGAAAGTGTCAAGTCTCAGGATTAAGTATCAACACTTAAGATTAGAAAACAAGAAAAAAAATAAAAATAATGCATGTTCCACTTGTTTTTCAATTTCATTATTAACCCTAACCTTTAAATAGTTTTTGTTTTTTGTTTTTTGTTTTTTTTTGGGGGGAAGGGATGTACTAGGGAGTGAACACAGGGATACTTTACCACTGAACGACATCCCCAGCCCTTTTTTATTTTCTAATTTGAGACAGGGTCTCGCTGAGCTGCTTAGGGCCTCACTAACTTGCTGAGGCTGGCCTTGAACCTACAATCCTCTCACCTCAGCCTCCTCAGTAGCTGGGATCACAGGAGTGTGCCACCACATCAGGCCTTTTCAATAGTATTATTTTGTTATACATTATAAGTACACATAAAATCAAGCTTTATTCAATGACAAAATTAACACTGTACTACCAAAAATCTTCACATTTAAAGGCAGTTTTAGCTTGAGAGTTTGGAGGAGACTTTGTGAACTTACCCTCTTTAGCCAAATATAGCTCCTTAAATTTTGCTCTCTTTTGATTAAATTCTTGCTCAAGCTGCTGCTGTGCACGTAAAAATTCTGCATTAATTTTTTCCAATTCTGCTACCCGTTGCTGAAGAGAAACTGGAAAAAACAAAAAACTAAGTTAACAAGTAATTTTGTTTACAAATTAAGTAACAAGAATAAATTAGTATTTCAACCAAACAATGCCATACATGGAACAAGTAGTCAAGCTATTCCCAAGATCTACTATATTCTTAGAAATTCTCATTTTAAAACTTCTATTAAACTTAATAAACAAACTGTGAATGAGTCATGTATAGTAAAACAGCATATAAACAGAGAATCACATAAAGCTATATCCCAAAATAGCTTCCAAAGTTCTTTTGTACAATTGGAAGAATGTCAACTTGAGGTAGGATAGAAGAAACATGAACAGGTAGAAAGGACAGAAACAAGGAAAGAAAGAAGGCCTATAGCTTTAAATCTAAAAACTCCATAAATGTCCTTCCCTTCACCCCTTCATCTGTTTTCTTGCACGCCTGAATTCTTAACAGGTCCAATAAATCTTAAACTACTGTAAGTCCAGTTAATTAGTGCTTATATACCTTATTGCTTACAGAATATATTTTTAGACAAGTTAAAAGAAGCTTACAGAGAGATTGTTAGAGACCCATGATATGGGTACAGTCTGAAGATTCTAAGAATCAGACCACCACGACCTGCTCTGTGCTCCACAATCATTAGGCTGACACCACTCCCTTACACATTTCATATTCCCCATTTTCAAGGTTTCCTTTGAAAGAAACCTGGCCAGGCTGAAAGGCACATACCTGTGATTCCAGTGACTAGAGAGATTGAAACAGGAAGATCTCAATTTCAAGGCCAACCTAAGATTTAATCAGATGCTATCTCAAAATAAAAAATATAAGGCCTGGAGATGTAACTCAGTGGTAAAGTGTGCTTAGGTTTAATCCTCAGTACAAAAAAAATAAAGGAAGCCTGAGACCCCAAAAGACGGCTCACTTTGGAATACTGGCACACCTTGGCTTGCTTTCCAGAATAAATCTCCTTGCTTTCCTTTTTTCCTTTTGATTCTGGGGATTGAACCCATGGACACTCTACCACTGAGTTATATACCCCTACCCCTTTTTATTGAGACAGGGTCTCACCAAGTTGCTGAGATTGACCTCAAACTGGAGATTCTTCTGACTCAACCTCCAGAGTCAGTAGGATTACAGGCATATACCACCACATAAGGCATGCTTTCCAAATAATATGTGTACCCTCATATCCCATTCTGTGATATAAATCAAGAACCTGCCAGAACTGAGCTGAGGTCCCTTTTTCCCTTCTGGGGATCTCCTCAGACCTTATCTGGTAACAAATCCACTTTTAAAATTAAGTATTGGATTATTTAAGGTAATTATCCTACAATTATCCTACAATGAAGCCCACTGCCAATACTGCTAGTTCCTGTTTCTCTCAAGTGTTACAAACCAAATCTAATGGGTTCCCTGATTGGAGCAGCCATACCAGTCAGAACTATTTTTCCAGTTTCAAAGAAATTCATTAACAGTATTCTGAAATCATAATCAAATAGGAAGAATAAAGAACTGTTCATTCTGTATGAAATCTCAAAAACACTAAAGATTACATGGTTTTCAAATTACCATTGATCATGGTGTGGCAGGGTCTGGGACACATTTTTGTCATAGGGACTTTAAATTTGGCTAAAACTCATTAAATGACTGCCTGCTCTGGCCAAGTCCAGGGACCGTTTTGGCTGAAGAACATACTCTTGACCTCCTCCTTTGCTCCAACTGAAGCCCAACCTTAAGACCATAATCCCTTCAGGAGATATCCATCAGTACTAATTAGCCACTAATTATTTGGATAAGAGGTCTAAGTTCCCTACTATAAACTACCCTAGGATAATGATTTGTCTGAATTTTTTAAAAAATGTAATTATAAATGAGCAGAATGCCTTTATTTTGTTTTTTTTTTTAATGTGGTGCTGAGGATCGAACCCAGTGCCTCACATATGCTAGGCAAGCACTCTGCCACTGAGCTACAGTCCCAGCCCTTGCCTATAATTTTTACCAAGATCTGAGATTATTTTTGAAGGCATACCTACTCCCCAGCCCATTGTTCAATTTAATTCAGAGCTAATTTTATAATGCATAGAAAAAAAGACTAGAAAAAATATGAATGATATATCTAAACATAATAGAATTATGACTCATAATTTGCTTCTCTATACTTTGCAAAGTTCTCTACAATGAGGGTATACACTTCTCTGATAATACATAAAAACTAAAATTGGTATTTATTCATTTCCATAACAGACTAGCCTCACTAAATTTATCATTATTAATATAACCCATGGCAAAATGAGGAAATGACCACTGCTTTGAGTTATATATCATTACAGTTAAGGAGTCATTGTGAGGGACAAATATCTAGAGTCTTCAGGTTAAAGCAATGACATCATATGAAGGCTTGAAAACTTGTTGAGAGAGAGAGATGGGGAATACATCAGAAGGAGAAAATATGTGATTTTTAAATTTTTTTTTAATTTTTTTTTTTTTTTGGTACTGGACATTGAACTCAGGGGCACTCAACCACTGAGCCACATCCCCAGCCCTATTTTGTATTTTATTTAGAGACAAGGTCTCTCTCACTGAGTTGCTAGCACTTCACCACTGCTGAGGCTGGCTTTGAATTCAAGATCCTCCTACCTCAGCCTCCTGAGCAGCTGGGATTACAGGTGTGTGCCACTGGCACCTGGCCAGATTATGTTATTTTTACCATGTAAAATCATGAAGGAAATTTGTTCTCTGGGATCTTTATCTCTGCTGGTATTTTTATCATTAAATTACAACAGTTAAACAAATAACTAATCCATCAAACACTTTATTTGTTCATGTTAGGGATTGAACTGAGGATGCTCTACCAGTGTGCTAAATCCCCAGTCCTTTTTATATTTTGAGACAAGCATGGTTTCACTAAATTGCTGAGGCTGGCCCCAAACTTGCAATCCTCCTGCCTCAACCTCACCATCACTGGGACTACAGGAATGAGCCTTAATACTTTATTATTACTGGTAGCTCTTAATTACTGCAAAAACAGGAAAGGGAGCCTGGCCTGGTAGCACATGCTGGTAATCCCAGTAACTCAAGAGAATAAAGCAGAAGAATCACAAGTCCAAAGATACCCTCAGCAATTTAGCTAAGCCCTAAGCAACTTAGTAAGACCCTGTCTCAAATAAAAAATTTTTTAAAGTGGCTATGTATATGGCTCAGTGGCTAAGCACCCTGGGTTCAATCCTCTGTACCATAAAAAGAAAGGAGGAAAAAAGAGCAAGGAGAGGCTCTGAGGAGTGAATAAAAGAGATAACAATTCCACACTGTATGTATACATCAAAATACCATGTTGGACATGATAAAAACACACAATATTTTTCTATCAATTTAAAATAAACAGCTGGGTGTGGTGGTGAACGCCTATAATCCCAGTGACTCGGAAGGCTAAGGAAGGAGGATCAGAAGTTCAAAGCCAGGCTCAGCAACTTAGTAAGAACTTGTCTTAAAATAAAAAGGGCTTGGGCTGGGGATGTGGCTCAAGCCGCAGAGCGCTCGCCTGGCATGCGTGCGGCCCGGGTTCGATCCTCAGCACCACATACCAACAAAGATGTTGTGTCCGCCAAGAACTAAAAAATATATATGAAAAATTCTCTCTCTCTCTCCCTCCTCTCTCACTCTCTCTTTAAAAAAATAAATAAATAAATAAAATCAGGGGATCCATTTTAAAAAAAAAAAGATTCCTTGGGAATAAACAGCGATTTATAAAAAAAATAAAAATAAAAAGGGCTAGAGATGTTGCTCAGTGGTTAAGTACCCCTGGGTTCAATTCTTATTACCAAATAAATAAATAAGTAAATTGAAGAAAAAACAAGAGCCTCTCCTCTTTCTTTCCCTAACAACTATATTCTCGTCCCAATCCCTACCTTCCACTAAATCACAGACATGCACGCACAAAATGCCTGCCATTCAACATTATTACATTTAGGTCAAACAAGGCTAATGAAACCACAACACAAAATTAGCAGAAGCCTATAACCCCTGTGCCTTGGAAAATAGAGACTGGAGGACTGCAAGCTGGAGGCCAGCCTCAGCAATTTATCGAGGCCCTAAGAATTTAGTGAGACTCTGTCTCAAAAAACAAACAAACAAAAAGGACTGGGAATATGGCTCAGTGGTAAAGTGCCCCTAGAGTCAGTATCCAATACCCAAAAAAATAAAATAAAATTGCAGCACACTACTGTAATAAAGCTGCTCAGGAGACTGAGGCAGGAGAATCAAAACTTCAAGGCCTGCTTAACTTAGCAAGATCCTGTCTCAATACAAAATTTTTTAAAAAATGAAAGAAATAAACAATAATGGAATTTGAGAATATCATATTAAGCAAAACAAACCAAATTAAGATAGAAGAAAAAGAAAGAAACAAGAACTGAAAGTATAACTCAAAGTAGAATCTTCCTCAGTTGAGCCCCAGTACCATCCAAAGGGTGAAAAAAAAAATTGCAGCCAAAAATTAAATGTGTTTCTCCACTGCTCCCAATCCCATTCTGGCTTTTACCCACACATCTTACTGGCTCTCTGTAAGATTCAGGACACTTTTCAATTCCAGGAATCACGATCCATTTGAGGGCCTTGTATATGCAAGGCACTGTATTACCAAGTCACATCCCTAGTCCTGGGGGATTGGGGGGGGGGTAATGAATAAATTAAAAAAAAAAAAGAAAAGCAGAGTGATTAGGTACCTTTTTATGTAGCCACAGAAGACCAGAAGTCACTTCCAATCTCATGATTCTGACTCAGTTCCATGCTTAGACTTCCAGCTCACACTTTTTTTTATACCATGTATTTCACAGCATCATGAACCAAACTAATTAGTGTCAATGACAGCCTTCAATAGTACTAAACCTTAAATTTATCAGTTCAGAGTTTTAGTCATCAGCCTTTCTGAGTCACCCCACACATTCCATATACTGTTACCTTCATTTAAGTAATAAGAAAAAGGGAAAACCTAATGTTTGACATCCAAAAGGAAAAATTACTATACCATTTACTGAAAATAT